ACCACCCTTCTCCTTCTCCTTCTCTATCGGGCTTAACCTGGAATTGGGATAACCCTTGCGCCACTCACTACATTGGTTCAGTTATGCAACCTAGTACAAATTCACGTGACCTGTCTGTTTATTTATTTATTGTTTTGCTTTACATGCTAGCCAGTCTTATTGGGATAAGACTTCCTATATGTAGTGTACGAATATGTATATATACCAAGCTACAGGTGAGCATTTGGTTCGATTGTTTCAGTTAATTGTATTTGGTTTTTCAATGTGATTAGTTCGGTTAAATCAGTAGTTAAGATCTACTCAGTTTAATCAAATTTCAATTCGGTTACAATTACAATTAAGCAACTTGAATAAACCAAAAGAAAAAACGATGTGCTTTGAAAATTAAGGCCCAAAAAAATTTACTCATATATGATTAACTTATAAATAGCTAAATCCAAACTTTATAACTATTTTGTATATGAGAGATTAGACATTAGAGTGCAATTTTTAATTTATTTCTATAGAAATCGGATAAAAATAATTATTGTTTGATTAGATGTATTTTTAAATTTTTAAGAAAGCACAATATATATACATAATAGAATTCGGTTTTTACTCTATTTTGGTTTTTAAAAATTAAAATTTAGTAAGTTCAGTTTTCAATATTCAATTTTATTGAATCTTTTCAATTTCTAATTTATTCGGTTCGGTTTAATAATTGACTTAAAATCAACCTAATTAACCGAACCTTTGACTCACATACGAAATCAATCCATTTTATCAATAGTGAATGCAAGAAAAGAGTGCAATAAATAATAAGAGTACATTGTGTTAAAACTCGTTAAGGTTTTTTTTTTTTTTTTTTTTTTTTTTTTTTTTTTTTTTTTGACAATAAAATAAACTTTGGAACAATCTCTAATGTTGTCCATGGTGTGCCCCACTAAGCATAAGCACATTAATTTCTTAAAGCAACAGAGTCAAGTTTTCACCAGAGATTTTTCAGTTGCTCAGCTTAAACTCAATTTTTTTTTTTTTTTTTTTTTTGACAATTAAATAACTTTGGAACAATCTTTCTCATGTTGTCCATGGTGTGCCCCACTAAGCATAAGCACATTAATTTCTTAAGCAACAGAGTCAGTATTTCACCAGAGATTTTATTGCATGCAGCTTAAACTCAAATGTTACCTTTTTTCAATCTATTGGTTTCTTGTCCCTTTCTACTAATTAATTTTTTTTGTTGAAAGAATTTTCCTTTTATACTACTCATAAGAGAGATCTAATTTTTGTGCAAGTAAATTTTAGGCTAGACAGTTCAATAATTGCTACTTCATAGGATGACAGTCACAAATTCAAGCTTCTACTTATTTAGATTTAATACACTTGTATTTTCAAAATATGAACGAATGACTACTTTTTTTGTATGGTCTTTTACAGTATGCTTGATTTTATGGATGTGAGCATATTGTCTGTATAATTATCCATAATATAGAAGCACAATTAGATAGTTGCATTGTAGTTCTAAAAATTCCGTTTATATTGATATTACACCTTATAAATATGTTAACGAATTTCATTAACTCCAATTAACTGAATATAATTTTGTAATTTAATTGAGCACTGATAAAAATTTGTACTCATGTTTTTTGAATGAGATATGGGTGATAAAGACTTAAACTGACTTCACACATATACTAAATGTAGCCGCAATTTTTTCATAACTACGTATATTTAAGTTACCTTGTTGCAACTAAAAAAAAAAAGCATGGTAATTATAAAATTTTTTACATCATCAAGTATGTTTTTCTTTTTATTTTATGTTTTCCTATTGCCTGCAACAACATGTTGGAATTAAGTCATTTCAGGAACAACCATAATGTCTTGTTCTTCGTTGGATAAGGAGTTCAAATCTGGCAGTTGAAAAGTTGTATCCATATCTTGAGAATATTTGGGCGACTTTATTGAAATGTTATTGAAATCAAATAAAAATTATAGATTCATGATGCAAGAATTATTATTATCCTCTTTCTATTGTGATTATCTCACCCATCCCCTCCATTTTTGGCTGCATTATCTACTAATTAATGCGCTGTTGTGATCCTCATTATATGATTTGGCTTTCTCTCAAATAATGGAGCAGTTAATGTTATTTAAGGGTAAATTACGCATAAAATGAAAAAAATATTCAATTAAACTACCATCTTAATCCCTATTTCAAAAATCAGTTTTTCCTATATAAAGAGAGTAATTTATAGCATGAACTCTAAGTCTAATTGCTAAAATTTAAGTTTTTTTTTTTTTTTTTTTTTAAATCTCAAATTGGAGCCTTATTCATGTTCCAATTTCATAGATTTTGGGACCATGAAAGCTCTAAATGGAAATCCTTCAAACAACACAATGCAATTTTCAAAAGCGATAACATGAGATATAAACATAGTGCGTTCACGTGAACAACATTCATACTTATGTTAATAATTTGACCATCGAATTTATATATATATAATGCAATAAGTATAAAGTTTAATCTCTTTAACTTACTGCCCATTAAAAATTTTGTCAATTGATAACAAATAAGTTGGGATATATATATTACGAGCTATAAAGCAATGGTAACTCTTTCTTTTGAATAACTTTTGTGGTGGAAAAGACGTACGAAGAAAGATCAATCAGACCACAACTGATTAATAATATTAGAACTACATTCTATTTCTTCTGCGTGTAGATATACAAAAAGAGACTTTATCGCTTGAATAATTTAATATTTAAAATCTTAGAAGTAAATTTATAAATATTTGTTTGTTTATATTAGTCAATTAAAGGTAGAAAAGTACTAAATTAATAGGTAATTTTCAAAAATGATATTTTACCTTGACGGTAAAGTTGATTCGTGGTTCTTACTTTCATTTAATTTGTAGTTCTTACTTTCTACCCCTTATCAATGTGTCTTTCTTTACTTATTGAGCTAAGCTACTCTTGGATGGGCCTCTATATATCTTGTAATTATGAAGTCTACCTGAATTATCCCAACACGTAGTGTAAATTTATAATATATCTTTTATACATATAATAAACTATATATGATTGGAAAAAAACAATATTTTACTTCCAAATATTATTGTTATCGCACTTTGGTCTACCACATCATTTATATACCAAACCAATCTACTTATGATGGAGTCAGGGACTCGGGGTCTCTGGCATGAGAAAGTTTTATTATATATACTTGAGAAAACTTGGCATAACTTCACTGCCAGCTTAGTGGTAGTTTGGCTTTGCTGTGACCTTCAACAACCAAGGTTTGCAAATTGCCATTGCATTATTTTACATTTTATTTCATTTTATTTATAATATATTATTTTTTACGTTTTTAAAATACTTGTTGGATTTTCCTATTATAGATAACATTCCATATTTTCACATTTTTATTTATAATAAGTTTTATATTACAAATCAATAGAATTTAAGATATAATTATTTTTTATAATATTCATAATAAACAAAATTATAAATCCAAACACTATAAGTAAATAAACTAAAATTTTATTATAAAAATATACTTTAATTTTATATATTCAAACTAAAAAAAAAATAGTATTTTTAATTTATTTAAAATTAACTCATTAATTAAATCATATTAAAATAAGTTTAAATCATATTTTTAATTTTAAAATTACTACTGAATAAATAATTAAAGTTAATAAAATAACAATATACATTTCTTGATTGAATTTTTCAAATTCTATTAGTAATATTTAGTATTTGAGTGAAAAAATATTTCATTGAATTCAATTTGAGCTTTAATTATGGGAAATCACTTATGGAGAGGAAATGCCACAAATTTTAAAACAGATTAATTTTGTACTCAAAAATAATTTAGAGATGGTCGTGGAAAACTTGTGGATAAATAAATAAATAAAATGTAAATGTTGATATAAAAAATGAAAATGAAGACAAACACAAAGTGAACTGCATTCGCATGCAGATGCAATCTTTTTCACCTCAAAAATATAAATTAATGGATCATAGTTCTCAAATTTTTCAAATTTTCAATTTTAAGTTGCATCTGAAAATATATTTTTCTGACTTAATGCTTATTAGACGATAAACCAAATATTTTGTTTTCGTCCCATGAACAAAGTTACCACTTTTTTTTATTAATTTATTCTATTTTTTCCAATGAAAAGGTAATAACATTCTTATTTTCACTAAATAATTTTATGAAATTACCGTAGTATATAAATGGATTCGTACAGAAAGTGTTTATAATCGTGCAAGTTTGCGCTGCAAGCACGAGACAATCGGCAAAATGGCAACGTTTACTGCGGCAGAAAACTTTGGTGTTACCTGATAATTGGTGATCCTATGAATTCTGCCTATCAGATAAAAGAAATTAAATTTTAAATGACTGGAATAAAATTAGCTCGAATGGTTAATTATGGTTTAATTATTATAAGTTTTACCAATAAATGTCATTTACTACACAAAATGATATCTTTATTTTTTTAACTTTCACAAAAATATCCCTCTCTATGTTAAAAGGATATAAAATTATAAATTTATTAATTTATAAAAAAATTGGTCTTCAGTGTAATTAAGAATATGATTTGATTTTGAATTGCATTCAACATCATAAAAGAGTTAATTTATATCATTCCATTCTAAATTAAAGAAAATGTAATAATTATTAAAAAAAAGAAAATGGAATAATAATTCCAACCAAATAATAATAACTAATAATAATATAATTATATTTTAGCAATTACTTTTTTTTATATATGGAGACTCAATAAACAGAAATAACATTGTGGGTTGTACAATAAAGGATAACCCTCGTCTTTAAATGATGTATACAAAATTGGTGATAACTTTCTGTTACAGAGATAAATCCAAACACCATCCTCTACAAAAAGGTAGGAAAAATGAGGATATAGATGTAAATAAAGAAAAACTCAAACAATTAAAGCAATTACAACGAATAAACTAATCTCAAAATTAGCCTTTGCAGCCAAGAAAACTGTATTTAACAGACACAGACATGGTCTAAATTTAAAGATAACATAAACACAAATCTAAACCTTCTAAACGGCACCGCTTTATTCTTCTCCTCTCCCCCAACTCTAGATCTCGGCACATACTCAATTATATTTCCGACACACAGAGAAGTTTCTTAAGGCAGACTTTTAAGTTACAGATTCCCTATTCTGTCTCCATAACTCAACACCATTCATAAACTCAGACTCACTTCAACGTTAAAACTCCATAACCAAATCTCGCTTCCCTCCATTTTCTTTCAACTAATAACTAATCATAATTGTCGCATTGTTACTTATTAGCAAACAATGAATAGTGCGACTTACACTCTTTGTACTTCTTATACAAACCCATTTCTTAAATCTCTTATTTTCTTTCTTTTATACATTCTTTTGATTCATTCGAAACTCTCTTTCACTTCCTCCCCACCAGAAATGCTCATTTTGCCGCTCAAAACCCAAATAATCCCATCTGGGTCCTTTCCTAGATCTCCAAGTAAGCTTCCTTTCCACCATAACGTAAGCCTCACCGTCTCTCTCACCGTCGGTACTCCGCCACAGAACGTGTCTATGGTTATTGACACTGGCAGTGAACTCAGTTGGCTTCATTGCAACCAAACCGCCACTTACCCAACTTCTTTTGACCCGAACCAGTCCGTTTCCTACAAACCCATTCCTTGTTCTTCACCGACCTGCACCAACAAGACCCGGGATTTTACCATACCCGCTTCTTGCGACGCCAACAATCTCTGTCACGCTACTCTTTCTTACGCTGACGCTTCTTCTTCTGAAGGAAATCTAGCGTCTGATATGTTCCATATGGGAGGTTCTGATATTTCGGGTATGGTTTTTGGGTGTATGAATTCGGTTTTCAGTTCTAACTCTGACGAAGACTCTAAGAATACCGGGTTAATGGGTATGAACCGTGGGTCACTCTCTTTTGTCTCTCAAATGGGTTTTCCGAAATTTTCTTACTGCATTTCCGGTACTGATTTTTCCGGCCTACTACTTCTCGGTGAATCAAATTTTACGTGGGCATTGCCATTGAATTATACTCCATTGATTCAAATGTCAACCCCATTACCTTACTTTGATCGGATTGCCTACACAGTTCATCTTGAAGGTATTAAGGTGTCCGATAAGTTGCTTCCGATACCGAAATCTGTTTTTGAACCTGATCACACAGGGGCAGGTCAAACCATGGTCGACTCGGGCACTCAGTTCACTTTCTTACTCGGGCCGGCTTACACAGCTTTAAGGACTGAGTTCTTGAATCAAACCACTGGAGTTTTGAAGGTTTTAGAGGATCCGAATTTCGTATTCCAAGGAGCCATGGATCTTTGTTACCGGGTACCGATAAACCAACGGGTCTTCCCAAATCTACCAACTGTAAGTTTGGTGTTTCAGGGAGCCGAAATGATAGTATCAGATGAACGGCTTTTGTATCGGGTTCCAGGTGAAGTGAGAGGAAATGATTCAGTGCACTGCTTGTCATTTGGGAACTCTGATTTGTTAGGCGTGGAGGCTTACGTGATTGGCCATCATCATCAACAAAATGTGTGGATGGAATTTGATCTTGAAAGATCAAGAATCGGTTTAGCAAAGGTACGGTGTGATTTGGCTGGTAAGAGATTTGGTATGGACCCTACAAGCCCATACATTTAAGATCAGGTCCGACAGAAACTGGGACTTTTTATAGAGTTAAACATGGTATTAAGTTTTGTTGGGTGGATTATAATGTAGTGTAAGGGCCATGTTATTAACGTGGTCCTGAAAGATGGTACCGTTCATCCATTTTGTGGTCCCCGCCAGTAGATGAGAGGTATAATCGGGAAACTAGGAATGGTCACTAATAATAGATAGAAATTAGAAATAGGAAATGATTTTTCTTTGCCTTGTATTTTTATTTTTTTTTAGTATAGATAGCGAGAATTTTAATATGAATCTATTATCAGACAGTATATATATTTATTTACTATTCTGACCCTATCGTAGCATGCTTCTTTGTCTTGTATATTATTTTGCTTGTGAGTTTAAATATTACTAAAATGATTATTATCCTTTCTAATTACTAACTTACTGTAGTCAATTTTTTTGAGATGTTAAAAGCTTTAGGATTTTATGTTTCATGTTTTGATTACATAGGTTGTTTTGTTCCAAAAAATAATTTATTTGAAAATTATTTCTTAGAATTTTTTTTATATTTAGAGTACTTAAAAAATTAATCAACATGCAATATTTTTACATTAATAAATTTATTATAATTTTATATACAAGTATTTAAATTAATTCATTGATTATTCTCAATTAATATATAGCACAAGTGACCGACCATCAGTACTGATCTTTAGTCACTACCAGCAATTATCACCTGTTAACTATGATTTCCATAATTTAATTACTTTTATGTATTTTTTATTGTATTTAACAATAAATTTTAAAATATAAAATTTTTACAATTCTAAATATTTTTATGGTCTTATAAATTGTAATTTAATGTTTTTGAAATAATTTTTAACATTACAATCAAACAACAAAAATTAGTTGTTTGAAAAATATTTTTTAAAAATAAGTTATTCTTTTGAAAACAAGTGACTCTAAATATGTTATTAGATAAAACAACCACCCATTAAGGGACATTTTAAGATATAATAATTTTATATTAGATTTTTAGGTATATTTTTGGATTACATTTTTGGTAGTCTTAAAACTTGATTTGTCTGTCCTCTAGAAAGATTTTTTTTTTTTTTTAAATAATAAGTTTTGATAATTAAGTTGTACTTTAGTATGAAAATATCTATTAATCATTCAAATGAAAAGATTAATGTTTTTAGTTTTATGTTTGATGATATTTATAAACTTTTCAGATTTGAAAGTTATTTAATTAATTTAAATTATTAATATTTAATTAGTATATTTGATCAAATTATTGACCCGTTAATTAAATCATTAACCTATCTACTGAGTTGTTTACCCGAGTTAATGTTTGGGCGTGATCAATAACAATGAAGACACGCATTGTTAACAATTCATCACTGTATTATGAGCCCACTCATTAATAGACCTATTCAAATTTGGACTGAAGCTGGGCTCGGATTGGGCTTGATCAGGTTAAAATTTTACATTAATAAAATGTCAGAAAATTTTAAAAATTAAGAGAATGTCATTTTTGTCATTTTAAAAATAACTTTAATGAATTCACGTCACACCCAAATCCCATGCACAAATATAAACTACGTCACCTATAAACTTAACTAGAGGTAATTCAAATTCACATGCCACAAACCATATATTTCATTTTCATTTTATTCAAATAAGTCTCTTTCAACATTAAAAAAAAGAAAAAAAAAAGAAAAACAAAAAGCAAGCATAAAACGAGGAAGCAAAAAATCTAAACTTCATTTTCAAGCAACTATAAAACGAAATCTATGATTTTGTTTAAAAAAATAAAAAAATTAGAAGTAAGAGAGATTTGATTAGATTAGATTAGATTTGATTGTCTTCATTCATTCACATCAATTATTCATTCCTAAATATAATAATTAGATTTTAAAAAAGGCTTAATCTTTTTATAAAGAAAAAAAAAAAAAGCATAAACACCCTACATTGATAACACATAATTAAAAGACAATCAAAATAAATTGCAAAAAATGGAAATTAAATTAAACCAAATATGTCAAGAAAAATTTAAATTGAGAATAAAAATTAGGGATTCTAAAAATAAGACAGAGATCAAAGGATAAATTTTGGAAATCCAAAAATTGCTAATTATTTTTGGATGAAAAATTTTGTAAGTAAGTTATATATTGATTCATGTGAAAAAAATTTCTATTTTCCATCTTATTGTCAATTATACTTTATAGAATTAATAGGAAATACTTTATTTAATACTTTTATACACTTTTTTATAATTATGGATTAAAATTTCCAATTTTTATAATTATATAAATGTATTAAAAACTTCTTCTTGTTAAAAAAAAAAAAAAGAAAGCTTTTCCTTAAAAAACAAAATAAAGAAAATCTTTTGGGTTTCGTCGGCCCATCCTTGTATTCGTCCGTCTTCCATATGTGTTGTATGTCGGTAATTGAAGTTAACATTTCATTATGGGGTAAATGCATAAGTTTTTGTATTTAATTTACGAAAAATTTTTTTGTAGCATCTCAAATTTTGCGAGGAATTTATGCTTTTAAAGCTACGAATTTTGATAATATTGTACACCTCTCCATATTAATAATATATATTTTTTTTTTGTGTGTTTTTAAAGCTACGAATTTTGATAATATTGTACACCTCTCCATATTAATAATATATATTTTTTTTTTGTGTGTTTTTAAAGCTACGAATTTTGATAATATTGTATATTTTTTTTTTGTGTGTTTTTAAAGCTACGAATTTTGATAATATTGTACACCTCTCCATATTAATAATATATATTTTTTTTTTGTGTGTTTTTAAAGCTACGAATTTTGATAATATTGTACACCTCTCCATATTAATAATAACAATTTTTTTTTGTGTGTGTTTTTGGCATCTATTTGCATAATGTTCACTTGATGTGTTATGTAGCCAATATAATCTTTATAACAATAATTTATACAAATTGCAATTATCCAATAAGTGTTTAATTGATATAATTTTATAAGTTTAAATGTTCAATAGAATAATTTTTGCAAATTGAAATATATAATGAGTATAATGTTATAAGTTGAAATATTTACTAAGTAAAAACAAAAGTCGGGAGTATCATAAGGTTCTTTTACGTAAAATACAAGAGTAAATTTATATCTTGAGCCTTTCATTATAATTAATTTAGCTCAATACATAAATTCACCCCTATACGTTTTATAAAAGATTTTATGGCATAGACGATTTTTACTTTAACCTATTGAATATTTTAATTTATAAAATTAGATTTGTTAAACACTTTATTTGATCACTAAATATTTCAATTTGTAAAATTAGATCGATTAAATATTTATTGGATAATAAAAAATATAAAAAATTACTGTTTCAAAAGTTATATTAACCATGTATTAAATCAATATTTTTGTATATAAAAACCAAAAACCAAAAATTTTTATTTAATATAAAACGGTGTGAGATTGTTATAAAAGTGAAGTTTATAATATCATAAGGTCGATTTTAAATTTTAAGGTAACACAAAATTTTTTTTGTCAAAATTCAAGAGTTAAATTACATATTTAGCCTAATTAATTTAGTTGTGACAAATCATTTAAATTTGGTGAAGGAATTAAAAACAATACAACAAAGTATAAATAATAACGAGATTGATTTATTTACAGATTATATATCGCTATCGAAATATTAAGTTAATTAAATAAAATTATTTGTATCCTTTCATTAGAAAAAAAATGAAAAAATAATAAAATTTATGACAGTTTTTCCAAATCACGATTAATTATTGACTTGACCTTTTGTATATTAGGTGTAGATAAGTATTTTCTAAATATAAAATGTAAAATATTTTTTCTTTTAACATAATTTTGATTATTTTCTCCAAATGACGAAGCAGAAGTCGTGGCCCATGAGTAGGCCACATTAAGGAATGCCTTCAAAGGGAAAAGAGAATTTGACTATTCTTAAAAATCTTATGTATGGTGATAGAGTTGGGATCTCAGTTCTAGGTTGCTGTCATGTCTACCCAGAAAAGAACTCATCAAAGAACAAACATGAGAGAGATTGAGATCATTGTCTTTAATTAGGACATGTATATAGTTGGTACAACTACAAATTCTATTTCAAAGTAATTGCATGAACACCATATTTATCTTTTGCCTACTTTCTAATCAAACTTAATTAATCTTAATTGGGTTAATTTGCGTATTACTATACAACTAGCCATTAATTCTTTGCATTGCTTACAAATTCCTTAAACCGCAACTTCTCAACTAACAGTATCTTCTCTTATTTATTCTTCTTTGAAACTGAATGTTTCTTGAAAATTATAAGCTACTTCTATGTGCTATATACCGTATTTTAAATCGACAGTTGGATAAGCTGTGCTTGAATTCAGTGAACAATTTCTACAAAATTGATTGTAAAAAAATTAACTCATGACTCTTGGATTGTATTCAACATATATTAATTAGATTTTATTTCATTAATATTGCTGATTGATTTATGATTAATTAAATATGAGTGAGAAAATAAATTCTTACTTAACTTTTGGTAGGTTGAAGTTCTTGGTGGGAGAATACCAGAAGGTAAAAAAAAAAAAAAAGTAGAAAAAGATTTAACAGTTAAAAAACTTGAATGCTTCAGAATACAAAAATAGTGATGTCACTTGGCTTTGAAGGGTAGGTAAACACTAGAACGTAGATGCATATTAACATTCTTGGTTAAATTTTTTTTTTTTTTTTTTCATGGAATCAAATTTTATCAAGAGTAAACCGTATCTATCAGATATAAAATATAGATCAATGAATTTCTATGTTGTTATATAATAAATTGAATAATAAACTAGTTATACAAAGTAATTTAAAATATCCGATTAAATTGATAGAGCATAATATATATGTCATATGTGCCTATTCACTTTACTTGGTGGCTATTTAACATTTGACTCCATAGTCTTTTTACAAGTCCGATGTGATTATCTTCATTCTTCATTCTTCATTTTTCTATTAAAAATGAGATTTGTACTTCTTTCTATATAAATACTCAAATAATAAAATATTATAAATAAAATCACCATATTGATAATAACAAAATCCAAAAACTGTCAAACCAATTATATCTAAAAACAAAATCTGAAAATATAGGTAACAATAATTTTAATATATTGGCAATAATAATTCGGATATACACCAAAAGAGACAAATACAAAGATTATTCAGAAAAAAAAAACAAAACAAAAGAGGACGAGGTAAACATAGACCGCAAAAAGAAAGCTTTAAAATTTTTTTTTTCTAGAGAGAAAGAGAGAGAGAGAGAGTGCTTATAAAAATCATACTTAATTCCAAAGTTATTAAGTAATTAATTGGAAGCGTCAACCTTCACATCAAACGATTGATAATGTTACGGGAAACAAGTAGATTTTGATCCACGTGTTCATTGTCAATGCATTGTTTTCTTTTTATATTTTTTTTAGTGTAACAATAAAGTGATATCTTAAATTACTTTTCCATCTAATATATTTAACTCAACTGTATCTGGATTAGATAAAAGACAATGTCTTTCTTATTTATTCTAGAATTTGAACTAAAATATGACTTATTAAAATATCAACCTAGATTAGGTTTGATAAGCTATAATAAAATATATAAAAATAGAATATAATGTATTATAATTATAATAATAAAATAAAAATAAGAAAAGTCTCGTACCAAAGAGTGTAAAAATACTCAGAATTTAAAAAATTATATAAATATAGCAATAAGGTAAATTGCCATAAAGTTACTGCATACCTAAGAGATATATTGTATCAATGCATCCATAAGGAATTAATGAAGTATAGGCCAAGCTCCTTATTATTTGGAAACAAGTATAGCAAAGGAAAGTTTTAAGACGAAGAGAAAAGAGGTCAAACACATGGATTTTCTTTGACAACACTCTAAAGTGGTTGTCAAACTACACCCTTTCTCTCTCAATATTTTTTATGAAGCTTGGAAAATTTTTATTTATCAACTGGGAGAACACCCTATTCACTTCTCCTTTATATATGCTCTCATAATTCTGCTTCACTATATTCCATAAACATCTCAGTTTTAAAATTAACCCGCTAGACCTTGTGACCTTCTCTCAACAGGCACACATTCATCAAAGAAAGAAAAAGAACGAGAAGGAGAAATGGGAACTTCTCTTCTGGGTGTTCTACTGCTTTTATTTCTGAATTTTTGTCTGCTCTACGACCTTGCTCTAGCTAGCATAACTCGGCACTACAAGTTTGAAGTACGTATAGTTGCCTCTCAGATTTATTTCTTTCTTTCTTTAGTAATTTGGTTTTAATTAAGGAATTCGAACTTGTAACCTTAATGTAGTGGTTAAATGTTCTTTCTCTGTAGATCAAGTTGAAAAATGTGACTCGTTTGTGCAACACCACAAGCATTCTAACTGTAAATGGAAAATTTCCGGGGCCTCGCATTGTAGCAAGAGAGGGTGATCGCCTTGTTGTCAAAGTCGTCAACCATTCTCCAAAAAATATCTCTATCCATTGGTATGTGTTTACTTCTAAATCTCGAAGAAAAAGGAGATTATTAAATATTCTTTTTGTTATTTTTGGATAACACAATATTGTTCTTGTAATTACAGGCATGGCATTCGACAGCTTCAAACAGGTTGGTACGATGGGCCATCTTATATAACACAATGTCCTATTCAAACGAATCAGAGCTATGTTTACAATTTCACCATTGTTGGCCAAAGAGGGACTTTATTTTGGCATGCACATATCTCATGGTTAAGAGCCACTCTTTATGGCCCTATAATCATTCTGCCCAAACTTGGTGTTCCTTATCCATTTCCTAAACCTTACAAGCAAGTCCCAATACTGTTTGGTAAGTAACTACTGGCTAGTGAAAACAATTATAATTCTATGTAATTGGTAAATATATATAAACCCTTACAAGCAAGTCCCAATACTGTTTTGGTAAGTAATCTGGCTAGTGAAACAATTATAATTCTATGTAATTGGGTAATATATATATATATATATATATTATATATATATATATTATAGTATATAATATATATAGGGTATCTTTTGACTTACCTATAGTTATACAATATTTGCTTATATATAAGGTATCTTTTGACTTACTATGTATACAAATATTGCTTGACCTGCAGGAGAGTGGTTTCATGTAGATCCTGATGAAATCATTAACCAATCCCTTCAAACAGGTGGAGGACCAAACGTTTCTGATGCTTATACTATTAATGGACTTCCTGGCCAATTCTATAACTGCTCAGCTAAAGGTGTATATAATTATACATTAATCACTAGTAATTCTATCTTAACCATTTGCTTATACCCAACAAATTTAGTAACAACAATTAGTACAAATAAGAGTATGAGTGTCTTTCATTAAAAAAAAAAACCTAATATTACAGGCTCAGCCATTGGAAAAGACTTACTTGCATCCGGTGTATGAGTCTATCTTTACACAAAACTAATTACAAACAGTGTTTTGATTCAAAAGAGAGTATTTATGATCATGCACAGGATAAAAGGAAAAAACAAAACAGTGACATTTTTTTTTAAAAAAATTTCTTTTTGGCAAGAAATTCCCATCAACTATTAGCCACGTGTATAAATAAGTATTTTAGGAAGCATTCATTTTTCTTGTACATTTAATAAATACATGAATAATCTTGATAGATACATACAAGCTGAAGGTGAAGCCTAGAAAGACTTATCTTCTTCGTCTGATCAACGCAGCACTCAATGATGAGCTCTTTGTGAGCATCGCGAATCATACTGTAACAGTAGTAGAAGTTGATGCTACCTATGTCAAACCATTTGAAACTGATAAACTTCTAATAACACCAGGACAAACAACTAATGTTCTGCTCAAAACAAAACCTGATTTCCCAAATTCCACGTTTTTCATAGCTGCAAGACCTTATGCAACCGGCATGGGCACTTTCGACAATTCTACAGTAACTGCAATTATTGAATATGAAATTGAATCCTCACCCACACATACAATTAAAAAACAACTCCCTCCATTGAACCCAATATTACCAGCTTTAAATGACACCCCGTTTGCTTTTAATTTTTCAACTAGACTACGTAGCTTAGCAAGTCTTGAATACCCAGCTAATGTGCCTCAAAAAGTGGATAAACGTTTCTTTTTCACTGTAGGGTTAGGAACCAACCCCTGCCCTAAAAATCAAACTTGTCAAGGACCTAATGGAACAAAGTTTGCTGCTTCTGTGAATAATATTTCATTTGCATTTCCAACAACAGCCATGCTTCAATCTTACTTCTTTCGGAACTCGAACGGTGTTTATTCAACGGATTTTCCTAGCCAGCCCATAATCCCGTTTGATTATACGGGGACTCCATCAAATAATACAATGGTGATTAACGGAACTAAAGTAGTTGTTCTTCCTTTTAATACTAGCGTTGAGGTGGTGTTGCAGGATACAAGTATTCTTGGGAATGAAAGCCATCCTCTTCACTTGCATGGCTACAATTTCTATGTTATAGGCTCTGGATTTGGTAACTTTGACCCTAACAATGACCCAGCAAAGTTTAACGTTGTTGATCCTGTTGAAAGAAATACGATTGGTGTGCCTTCTGGTGGTTGGGTTGCATTTCAGTTTCTAGCTGATAACCCTGGTGAGTTTCAATCTATTAATTAATGAAAAAAACTAAGTATTTCATATATTTTTGTTTTATGAAATTTGGTATACTTATTATGGTAATTATATAACTAAGTTGAATTAGATTTTGATAATTGAGGTTAATGTGGTGATATAACAACAGGGGTGTGGCTAATGCATTGTCACTTTGATGTGCACTTGAGCTGGGGTTTGAGAATGGCTTGGATCGTTTTAGATGGAAATCTTCCCAATCAGAAACTGCCTCCACCACCGTCTGATTTACCCAAGTGTTGATTATTCACACTCTGCCCTTTGACGACTTTTCTAATTAATTGTAATTTGTTGATTTTACACCATTAGGCCTTGGCCTATCAAAATTTTCCCTTTAAATGTCCTTTGCTTTTCCTTTCTTTTGTGTTTTTTTTGGGTTATGATTATCATGTGAGATAATGAGAGAATAAAAAGGATTTTTCCTTTTCTTTTTTTTTTTTTTTTTTTTTTTTTTTTTTTTTTTTTCATTTTTCCTTTTCTTTTTTTTTTTTTTTTTTTTTTTTTTTTTTTTTTTTTTAATCGATTCTGTTACCTATCTTCTTTAATTTGGAGCTGTTTTTTTTTTTTTTTTTTTTTTTTTTTTTTTTTTGTTTTAATGATTTCTGTTACCTATCTTCTAATTAAGAGCTGTTTTACCTTCCCTATTGAGGGGAAGGTACGATATGTAGGTGCATGCCCTTTCCATTAGTGAATAAATGTACCTTTAAATTTCATATTGTGCTTTGCCAAATATTTACTTATTAAATAAAGAGTATTTTCGGTAAAATTAGTTACTATTTTAATAACTATTAGTTATTTGAGTAGCTAATAATTTTTCTTAAAACATTATAAAATACTACCTTAACGTTTAAAAATTAATTCAAACATTATATTACTAAATACTATAAAAAATATCGTTTAACCAATCATTAAAAGTTACTTTAAAATATGTTGTCAGAGGACCGGGAAAATATTATAGCAAGTGTTTGAAGAAAAGTTTAAAGTCAGCTACTTGTTAACATGTATGAAAAATTGTGTTGTTTCATTAATACTACTCTTGTCGTTTGCCCAAAAAAGATTGAATTAGAACAAATTAAGCAGTAAAAAATACAATAAAAAGGGTGATTTTGAAATTTAAAATTTTAATGTCATCTAAATATGTCAAAACAATTTTACATTAGCGTTAAAACTCAAAAATCAAAAGGTTGTCCGTTTGCAAACAAAAAGAAAACTATTACAATTTTATTGATCTTCACGTTTGATTCTATTTTAGAAAAAGTTATTTATTGAAAATAATTTAGAAGTATAATTTTGTTTTTTACAGAATTTTTAGATTATAGTTAGTTTTATTAAATTTTTTAGAGTATAGTTAGTTACCCATTTTATTTTATTTTTTCCTGTATTGGTAATTAGGAAGAAGAGAGTCATTCTGGGCTGCACCTGGGACTGGCTTAAATTTGGATTTAGCCCATAAACAAATAAATAAATAAATTTAATTAAGTGAAGAACACAGTCTTAGTGCCAGAAAGTGGGGCCCACCATTTTTGTTTTAAGGGCCACGTCGTTGACTTTTGAATGGCAACTAAAGATAGCTACCATTGTTTATTAAAGGATAAATTACTATTTAGTTACAGAAATTTTCAAATTCATTACGTACCTCGTCTTTCTATTTTGGAAAATCAATTAAAATGTTGTCCGTTGAACTAGGGAAAAATGTTGTCCGTTGAACTAAGGATCCTTCCGTCAAATATATATATATATATATATATATAATATATATATATATATATATATATTTGCTCTTTTATAAAATAGGATTATAGAGACTTCCCAGAAGCTTCGATGCCTGTCATCCTCTCTTTTCATCCCCCACTTCATACTCATCGTACACCTCTACCATTGTCGATACCTCATTCAATAATCCACCACCATTGATGTCACCATTTGCCTGTTCCTTGACGCTACATCTCACTTCATAGATGATGATGATTGCGTTTCTTCTATCGATGAACAAACCGACGTCGGATCACCTTCATTCTCAAATTCTCTAGTCGGCCAAATCACAAATCATGTCCTCAAGCCCTCTGGTCAGATTAGGAAAGAACAATCTCTTAAAATCACTTGCTAAGTCTCTCATGCTTAGCTAAATTTCTTCTTTTAAAAACCTCGATCATGCGGTTATGAATTAACTATCAAAGGAAATTAAAACATGTATCAAGTGGAATCTAAAGTGGCAAGAACGTATGAAGGATATTTGTAGCTCGATGATCTGAAGTAGATGATAAGATTTAATGAATTGATGTGTAAAATAACTTACAAAAAGAAATTGAAGACTGAGATGGAGATTTATAAGAAAAAATCTTTTCGGTACCTCTCTTAAATTGTATTATAGATTTGATTTTGTTTATCAGGTGATATATAACGTTAATGCTTTTGTTTATGAGTCAAATCCAAACACCTGTTCATAGCTAATATACACCCTAATTAAAACTAACTCAAGTTTTTTTGTCGTTACTTTCTTTTGGTTCTCTCTTTGTAAATATTGAATAAAGATAAGGATATTTTGGACTTAAAATTTTCTTTTCTCGTTATTGAATCTACTTTTTTTGAGTTGACTCAAGGCAAAATATTCTTTTTTTTTTTCACTGAAGGACCGTTTAGTCGGACGACCACTAAATTCGAAAACGTCTTAATTGATTCTCTAAAATAAAAGGATAAAGTAATGAATTCGATAATACCTCGGAGGCTAAATAGTTAATTACCCTTAATTATACAAATAGACGATTTGAATGCAATGATATAATTAATAAGTTATATTATTAAAGATTATGGGCTTGTTATATAAATTTATAAATGAGTGGGTTTTTTTTTTTTTTTTTTTTTTTTTTATTCTTATAAAATAGAAGTTGGAGTTTTTTTTTTTTTATTTTTTTTATTTATATGTAATTAAGATCATGTGTTATTAATAAATATCATGAAAAATAAATATCTTTTAATACATATGGGAGAGTCAGTCCCATAGATTGGATTTTTTTTTTTTTTTTTTTTTTTTTTATAGTAAATAAGATCATGTGGTTATAATAAATCATGAAAAATAAATTCTTTAATACATTGGGGAGTCAAGTCCCATAGATGGAACCAAGGATGTAAACATGACACATGAGCAAGAGCATGTGCAGGCTTGTTGCCTTGCCTCCTAACCCTAACCAATTCACAAGATGATATTTGAGAAAGTAGTTGTTTAATCTTTTTTATCACTGGTGCCCAATCTGAATGAGAATCAAAATCAGTAGTTACAACTTGGACCAGTTGCAGAACCCTACCAATAGATCTCGTGAGCAACCAAGATAATACTTCCCTAAGGCCGATGGCCTCTGCGATGTGAGGTTTTAGCACCCCTGCAAAATGACCCGTGCAAGCTACCAAGAACTGCCTAGCTTCATTCCGGACAAGGCCAGCATACGATAAACGACTCTCAGTCGTATGGACAGCTGCATCAAAGTTACACTTTACAATCCCAGTCGGAGGAGGAGCCCATGTCAGAACTGAAGCCGACGATACAAAGGAATTGCTTCGATCAATTCTTCAATTCTCTAAGAAAGTTGGTGGCTACCATGATAATGTTGTAAGGAGCAATATTAGTTTGTTGCCAACCCACCGATTTCTGTCAAACTAGATAAAGTAGCACAACACACCGAATAACATTGACTTGTGTTTGATCCAATACAAGCTTCTTTATAAATCATTTATAATATTTTATATTATTTAAAAATGCAAATCATTTCCCAGCACATACAAGTTCCATTTTTTCAATTTTTTAATTAGTGAACTTTAATTTTTATTTTAATGAGAGGTCAGTTACTGAAATATTGCGATCAAAATAAAGACACTGAATAAAATATTTCATTTAAAGGAAAAAGTATGATGGTAAATGTAGGAGAAAATATGTGAAAAAAAGTTGCAACATATATACAATGGTAGGTAGAAATTTTTTTTTTTTTGTCATTTACTATTTTAAATTATTTCACTTGTCATTTATTCTGAAATCTTTAAAATATCATTCATATCATTTTATTGAAATTCAATTTTAAATTTTAAAATTTCTTAACCATAAATATAAATTTAATCTCTTGTAATATATTTAAAATATAAATTTTTAGTTCAATAAGGAATGACTAATAATCTAAACACAGTCGCCATTTGGAAACTTTTAGATTAGATCAAATTCTATTAATACGGTGAGTTTTGCTTCTTTGGATTAAGTTAATCCATGGTCAAGTTGTTAATTCTAAAATAAACAACATTTTTAGTTCTTTTTATGGTCTTGTTTGAGGATTAGGGTGACAATATATTTGTATTTCTAAATGGGGTGCCTAAAGTATAAAGGTCATTTAGTATGAATTTGCAATAAGCGTATAGTTGCAGATATTTTTATAGATTTAGCGGTTACAATTAAATAGGAGTCTTTTTTTAATATTAAATTTAAATATTTTTAAATATATAATTCAAATATTTCACTGTATATTAATATTTTTTTATTAAAAAATTAATTAAAAATAATAAATTAAAAATTCAATATAATTTGACTAAAAATATGAAAATTTCTTAATTTTAAAAAATGTATTCCATTAAATGCCATTTTCAATTAAAAATTTCCATTTTTGAAATTTTAATTTGAATTGGAATATTCGAAAATCAAGTCTTACCCAGTCACCAATTAGCTCGCTTAGCATCACCAACCTATTGATGTTAATTAACATTTGACAAAGTCAATAATAATATACTCTTATTATATATATATATATATTATATTATATATTATATATATGTTTTTCAAGAAGAAATATAAGTTATTTTAAATTAAATGTTAAATCTAAAATTTTTAATTATAATGATTATATATATATATGTTTCAAGAAGAAATATCAAGTTATTTTAAATTAAATTGTTAAATTAAAATTTTTAATTATAATGATAAAGGAATTGAAGTATTACAACTTATAATTTCTCTGAAAAATATCATAATCTTAAGAAAGTTTTCTATATCTGATGCTGGAATTAAATCTTTAACCTTTTGCATTAATAATTAACAGTGATTATTAAATCAAAACGGATGGATGTACAAATATACTGTGAATAGGCCTGCGTTAATAACATGCAGTGGGGTTAATTTGATGGAATGACAATGATTCATTTCCCGTAACCAGAGTTCTGAGTTCAAATCCAGAGGTTTCGAGTTTAAATTCTAAATATGAAGTACCTTTAAAATTTGGTACTTTTCATAGATTTATTCGAAATCTAGATTAATTGGCTCAGTGAGCTTCGGGACAATGGTTTAAAAAAAAAAAAAATTATTGAAGGTGACTTTAATTTGAAGCACGAAAAGCATATGTTGGATGTTAAAGCTGCTCAGAATTTCAAATATCAACCAACAATAATTCAATTCAATAATTGGAGAGCAAAAGGGTAACCAACTTTGAGACCGGAGAAAGAAATTAAAGAAGATACAATATAATTAAGTAACATCAAGAGCTGTTAAATGTTATGGAGCAAGTAATAACCGACAACTAACAAGATGATATAGCAGCAGCTCTTTCTATTGCCTTGATTACCAGCAGGAGGTTGAAACGCTACCATTACCAAGCTACTTCTACCACTCATGGCTAGCTTAAGGTAACTAATTACTCCTTTTTTTAATGGAAAAAATTGTTTTGGTGGCAATTTAGGAGCTTGAAACAAAAACCGTTAAGGCTAATTAGACAATGAAATCTAACTTAGATATCACTCCAAAGTTCTGCCTCACCAGCTGCTAGTCCGACCAAAATTGCAATTTGTTCTTGCAAGTCATAGTATAGGATCTACTCAACAAAAATCTTAGTCTAATCAATCACCTACTTGACAAATCTCACTGTTTGTTAACTCACTATATAAAAGCTTCATCTTTTTCATCTTTCTTCATCCAATTAGCTTTCATCTCGTACCATATATTATTTGTCGTCTTCTTAAAAAAAGAAAAAGCTGAAATGGGTTTTACCAGTTTTCCTGCCATGGATGTTTTAAGAACTGCGGTGCTTGTATTATGTTTTTTCCCTCAGCTGATAGCTGCAAAGCATGCAGGCATTACTAGGCACTACAAGTTCAATGTAAGTAATAATATTATTAATTAATTTCTGTGCCAATGTCATTAAACTAAAAATTATGTTTTCTTTTGACAGATTGTGATGCAAAATGTGACAAGATTGTGTCAAACGAAGAGTATTGTGACAGTGAATGGTAAGTTCCCAGGCCCTCGGATCATAGCAAGGGAAGGTGATAGGCTTTTAATTAAGGTGGTTAACCATGTCCAGTATAATGTCACTTTGCATTGGTATGGAATCTTAACCTTACTTATGTTTCATTCTATTTTAATTAAGTTTAATTAAGTTTGTTAATCTTTGATTGTTACGTTAATTAGGCATGGAGTTAGGCAACTGAGGAGTGGGTGGGCAGATGGACCTGCCTACATCACACAATGTCCGATTCAGACAGGGCAGAGCTATGTGTACAATTTCACAGTCACAGGCCAAAGGGGAACATTGTTTTGGCATGCTCATATCTCATGGCTAAGAGCCACTATTTATGGTCCTCTTGTCATCCTCCCTAGAAAACATTCTTCTTACCCTTTCCAACAGCCTCACAAGGAAGTTCCCATCATTTTTGGTAATTCCCAAAAATTAACTCTTTTTCTTAATTGTAAAAAATATTCCCCTCACAGAATATACATATTGCAGGAGAGTGGTGGAAAGCGGACACAGAAACAATAATCAATCAAGCAATGCAAACTGGAGGAGCACCAAACATTTCTGATGCATTTACCATAAATGGTCTTCCAGGACCTTTATATAACTGTTCTGCTAAAGGTATTTTAACTAATTAATTACTAATTTTTCTGTTATGAAATTAACAAGTAATGTCAAATTAAGTAATTAATTACATTCTTTTCAGATACATTTAAGTTGAAGGTGAAGCCTGGAAAAACATATCTTCTTCGCCTCATCAACGCAGCACTCAACGATGAGATTTTCTTTAGCATCGCAAATCATACTCTTACTGTTGTTGAAACTGATGCAGTTTATGTCAAACCCTTTAATACTCCTGTTCTACTCATCACTCCAGGACAAACCTCAAATGTCCTCCTCAAGGCTAAACCCAAGGCACCTAATGCCACCTTTTTAATGGCAGCTAGGCCTTATTCTACTGGTCCAGCTGCTTTTGATAACACAACTACTGCAGGAATACTGGAATATGAGAATCCTTCTGTCTCAAACTCCAAGAACAAGAACAAGAAACTTCTCCTTCTTAAACCATCACTCCCAGTCTTTAATGATACTACATTTTCCATGAAATTCTCTAAGAAAATTCGTAGCTTGGCAACAACAAAATTCCCAGCCAAAGTCCCACAAAAGGTCGACAAGCGTTTCTTTTTTACAGTTGGGTTAGGGATGCTCCCTTGCTCTCAAAACCAAAATTGTCAGAACAATACTAGAGTAGCAGCTTCAATAAATAATGTTTCTTTTGTGCAACCAAATATAGCACTTCTTCAAGCTCATTTCTTTAACAAATCAAAGGGTGTGTATACAACTGATTTTCCAGCAAACCCACCTTTTAAATTTAACTATACAGGGACGCCTCCCACCAACATTATGGCAACCGCCGGTACTAAAGTGGTGGTTTTGCCTTTTACTACTAGCGTTGAGCTGGTGTTGCAAGATACTAGCATTATTAGTGCAGAGAGCCATCCTCTTCATCTCCATGGCTTTAACTTTTTTGTTGTTGGACAAGGTTTTGGCAATTTCGACCCCAGTAAGGACCCTGCCAAGTTCAACCTTGTCGACCCTGCTGAGAGAAATACTATAGGTGTGCCTGCTGGCGGTTGGGTGGCCATACGGTTCCTTGCAGACAATCCAGGTTGGCATCAAAGCAACTTAATTATCAATTGTGTAAAAAAGTTCTATGTTTATTTGTGCTTTTTCAACAGGAGTTTGGTTCATGCATTGTCATCTAGAGGTACATACGAGCTGGGGATTGAAGATGGCTTGGGTTGTCACAGACGGGAAACGGCTTAACCAGAAGTTGCCTCCTCCACCCTCTGATCTGCCCAAATGCTAAATTTTGCTTTCCTTCCTTTTTTTTTTTTTTTGGTTAGATACAATATTCTTGTTCTTCAATTCTTTGTTCTCTTTCTCATTTACGTTCCTTTTGAAGTTCAGAACATAAAAAAGAACCTCAAGCTCCTAGTTTTTGATAATTAGTTTTATGAATTGAGAGAATGTACCAAAAATATCATACAATATACATAATGAATGCACAAAAATATCATTTGAAGTCAACTTCTTCTTCTTTTTTACTTCGCAGTGATTTTCTTTTAGTTTTTAATTTGAGATCTTGATATTTTGTTAAATAAATTAAAACTGTATTTTTTTTAAAAAAAATTTAAAACATAATTTTTTGTCCATGTTAGTTGTTGACAACATAAAAGTGAACATCTATAAATTGAAGTGTATAACTTCCTTTCTCTCTCTCTCTTTCTGTTTCCATTTCTGGTGAGCGCAAATCACAGGCGAGGCTGCGACTTCATCTTGATCGAGACAGTTGCGTCTCCGGGTTCCTTTCATTTTTTCGGCGACTTCAGCTTCCTTCTCTAGGCAGCGTCGCTCGGTTCCCCTGTCTCCCTCTCTTCCTGTTCCTGCTGGTACAGCAGTCGGGTGAAGCTGCATGCGGTTTTCGATCGGGTCAGTTGCGATCCAGCTCTCCTTTCTTGCTTTTCCGGCAAGACCAACCAACTCCGGCCATCATCGACCTTTCCCCTCGTCACTATCCCTTTTCCGATTGCTTTCCTTCCCATTTTCCGGTTTGGTTGTGGCGCAGCAGCGAGAAAGAGAGAGCAAGAGCGAGAGCTGCTTTTTTTTTTCGATGTTCTAACCGGAAAATTTTAATTCCTTGTTCATTTTACAAATTGGTAAGCCGAATTCTATTTTTCCCATTCACTCTATGAATTCCATTAAGTAGTTTGCAAATTAAATTGCATAAATTTCAAGATCTTTGTAGTTAGAGTTCTCAGGTACAGTTTATAAAAAAAAATTATAGAAATCTTGAATTAAACTACAAACTAAAGTTATGAACTAAGTTTGCTAGATGTTAATAAGTAGTATAGAGGGTTCATTACAAAATTTGTTAAAGGAATTGATAATCCCTTAAGATGGCAGTGGTTTAATGGTTATTTGCTTGAGTTTTCACCACGATAGGAAGGAATTGATGGCTTATATTAAATTTTTGATACAAATGGTTAGATTGTTGCTTCTATTACAAGTTTGATGATGAATTAAGGATTCTTTGGATGGTAGCAGTTAGTTAGCCATATACTTAAGTTCTTGATATCTTATGAAGGAAATCTTGAATTTTTATCATTCCAAATGAGCTGCAGAATGAAATTTTTTAAAAATGTGAAGGATAATGTGTTTGCTGCATATTCTATATAATAAATTAGAGCAATTTTAAAATGGCAGCAGCTATTTTTCATTATTTCTATAAACCATTGCTTGATATTGATTATAGGATGTTAAGAATCTAAGTTTTGATGGGAAATGAGTTAAATTTGTGCATATATGAACTAGTACATATGTCAAAAATAGTAAGTGTCAAATAGTTCACAACTAGCGATAACATGAGTCATTTAACTATCCAATTATTTTCGTTATGTAAAGCTTGTGCGCATAGAGACAACACAAACATTAATCATACAAATAGCAAATTCAAGATCAACACTCTATAAAGCAATCTATAAGATCTATTCATACATAATGTCTAAAGGTGAAATAAGACCTTAAATCAGAGAGTCTTCATTAACCTAAGGAACCATAATTTCAGCACACAACTAGTTGCAAGATCCACCATGAGTTATGAATTGAGAGATACACATAACAAGATCGCTAAGTGAGAGATTTAATTCTATATATGTATGAGCATAGTTCTCTCCACTCTAAACAGAGAATAGAAAGAATTTGTAATACCGTTCTTTGAGTGTAACAAATTGATGAAATACAAATGAAGAAGGTTATAAATGGTTGCCTTCCTATTATCAAGCTTTTCTTGTGTATGATCTGATCTTAGATCTGTATATAACAGGAACCTTCTCTACAATTGTAGAACTTTATGAACCATGAAGCGCAATTTGTACTCAAGGTCCTACTATATCTGTTATTTTGAGTAATCTTGACTAGCTGGAGAAGGTTCTGATAATATCCTATCTTATATCTAAGAATATTTTGCACAGACTGCTCTCTGTTAATATAGAGAAGTCTTTATCAATAGGGAATTACGTTGCAATGTGTGCATATGCGAGTCAGCGATTAGTTGAGCTCTATGAAGGGCATAATGTTCTCCGGTACTATATGATATATAAGGGTTTAGCATAATTTTAAAATAATATGAGCATGAAGAAGCAAGCCTGATATTTAATGTGAATAGTACCTTCAATAAATCTATAAGAATTGAGCGATGTCGACTCTCTAATTATGTACATACACCATCTACCAAAATAATTTGAACATAAATTGAGAGGCATGCGTGTCTCTATATGCAAATGTCTCAATAGTTAATTGTCACTGACGAGCGAGAGAAATAATTGAGCCTAATGAATTAGTGATAATAAAAAGAAGCTCAAACTATTAATAAAAGTATTGCAGATTATCATAGAGTCTCTTAAAGTAAGAGCGTGCAAGAGAAGTCCCGGATAATGCAATTTGTGTGCGAAGTAAAGGCTATTGCCAGGTGAAAATCCCGAGATATGCCAGCAACTATTTTTCTACATAATGAGAACTAAGCATATGAAGTGTAAATAATACTAACCTGAAATTTATTGTGACATAATGTCAAGCAAGAACTAATGAGATCAATCAATGCTACCGAGTAAGCTACCAGATGACGCAGATAATGGAAAATCAGAAGCTAAAGAATATATCTATAATATCTATTAATTCTCCTATTAAAAGAATGGTGGAAGGAATACCCAATAACACGCTAACAAATGTAATTGTCCTCACCAAAGGTTACTAGGAACAATCATATACTTATGACTACATGCCTCTTGGCAAAAAACACTCTGTGTAATATATATGAGGATAATAAGAAAATGAAATCAATTCAAAGCGCTATAAAATATGCCAACAATATGTATTTTTACGAGTCATTGGAAGAGAAGAGAGACATAAGAAGTGTTAAAGTCACATGTGTAAAAAACTTATCAGTCAGATAGTAATATTTGAGCGAGGAAATTTAGGAAGCTTTAGTTATATGTTGAAGTTGTGAGTTGGGTTACCGAGTAGAAGTATTTATGAAATTGTAATTTAATTGAAGCATTGGTTCTTAGTGGCTAGTTTAGAGTTTTAGTAAATGTTTAAAGATGTTGTTTATACCTTAAGCAAGGATGATGAAATAAAGGTTTAACAAGGAGTTTTATAATAGTTAGAAGCTAATTAACTTAATGGTATAACTTCTGTTTATATATGTATGAGCTAAAGAAGCTGATTATATTTATGTGAAGCAAAGAATGTTCAATAATATTATTGGAACATGTTTGAAGGTTATTATAAGTTGTGAATTAATAGTTGACTGTTGACATTGTTGTTTGGAAGGAGGATGATAATTTAATTTGTTTGATCGCTGATGGATGGGCTATGTGTGTGATGATTGATAAATATTTAATAATATTATTATTTAAGCAGGTGGATAGTCCTAATTTTAGTGGAGGTGTTGTCGAAATTTTGATAGAATCTATGCTAGTTATATTTAATGATTAAGTTAATAGGCTTATTTAGCATAATTCTTTAACTTGATATATTTGAAATAGAGTACTTTATTCAATTCAATTCTCTCCTCTCTTTCGAATGCCATTTCATTTAGATCGCTTTAGTTTGTTCACTGCTTCGACAAGTTAGGATCTGAAATTAGAGTGTTTTCCCATCTAACGATGTAAGTAATAATAAATAATATATATACCATACGCATCATACATAAACTCATTACAATACAACGCTTCGTCTTTATTTGTTTATTTATTTTTCAAGTATCAATTATTATATTATTAGTGTTTAATACTCTTATATTTATTTGTATTTATATATGAAAGTCTATTTGTTTTGTATTTTAATATATGAAAGTACTAAATTTGTGTATTTACAGTGATATCAATTGTTTATTAATTATATTATTATGTTTGCATTTAAGTGAATTGTTCTGACTATTGTGTTATGACAATTGATCCATGCCGTCATTTGCGTGGAATTGGGGATGAAGTGGGGGTTACCAATGGGTTTGTGAGGATGGTCCTTCGCATACTATTTGATGATCGGCCATAGTATGGGGAGAATCGGACACTTAGCTTTATTTGTTTATTTATTTTTCAAGTATCAATTATTATATTATTAGTGTTTAATACTCTTATATTTATTTGTATTTATATATGAAAGTCTATTTGTGTATTTACATGATAATGTTTAATTATTTAATATGTTTGCATTTAAGTGCATTGTCTGACTGTTTGTGTTATGACATTGATATGCCTCATTTGCGTGGAATTGGGATGAAGTGGGTTACCATGGGTTTGTGAGGATGGTCTTCGATACTGTCGGCCATGTATGGGGAGATCGGCACTCTCGTGTGCATCTGATGATATATGATGTGGAAAACCACAGGGTGGCCGCCTGTTGATATGGAAAAGAAAAAAGAGTATAAAATAACGAGAGGGCTGGTCAAGTAAGGATTAGACCAGTCGGCCATATATGAGAAATCGGCTCCCTGGTGCACACGTCATGAGAGGATGGGCCATGTGCGAGGACGACTCATCAGGAGTCCCCGTGACAACACAGACTAATCTCCATTTGTTTGATTATGTGAAGGTGTACTTCTATGTGGGTGTTGATGTTGCGCCATATGTTTGATTGGACGAGTGTTCATTTTAGTATTTTAGGAAGCATTTCACGTGGATGCCTGTGTTATGCAATAATTATTATTCATTATTAAATTCACATTTCTTTTGTTTAACTTTTCAGGAAGTAGATTTTTCTTTGTCCCGGTTAAAGCTCTGTTTCCTTCACCGCAGAGCTAGAAAAGAAATTTTCTAATTCCAGTGATTATTTATTTAAATTGAGACCGTTATATATAAGAACTTATTTATTTGTATTTGATATTGAACTCAGCAGTTGTAGGATTGTGAAAACCTCTATTATAGGAGTATGATTATTTCAATTTTGTATGAGTGAGATCATGTTAAGCAATAACTTTAGATTGATGATTTATAGATCTATATATACATATACGGACCGGTTAGCCCATATTATAGATATTGTGTCACGTATAGGCCCAAGTTATGAAATATTTGAAGGATATAATACGATCATAAGATTTGTTATATAGAGTAATATGGGCTCACTGTTCCTGAGATCTATTTCAAAGTGATTAAGTTCAGTGGTTCAGGCTTACTACGGATCTTGGAGGCCTTATGCTTACCTAGGTCCTAATGTTGTTCGGTTCATGGGTTTGGGTCGTGACAGAAAGTCATCTTTTTCATTTCTTTTTTTTTTATTATTAATTTTACTATTTTTTTGAATTTTTATTGATTTTGTATGTCCATTCAAAGAGTCTTGATATGGAAAAGAAAATGTCTAGAAGAATTGAACTTAAAATCACTGAAGTTTCTCCAACGTGTTTTCACATTGGGCTTATTCCATTTTTATTTTAAAATTTTTATTTATACGCGTATGTGAGATGATAAACAGTTGAAAATTTTAATTTAAAAAAAAAATAATATATACGCGCGTGAGTATATATATTTTAGAATTGAACATATACAGTTATTAGGTGATATTATAGAATTTTAGATAAATGGCAATATAAATTGAATTGATGGATGAGGTTCGAAATGTGATTAGTATAAATGGCAATATAACAAGAAAAATTTTAGATGATGAGTTTATTCAAATATATAATTCCTATTTACTAATTTATATATATTCTATATACGTATATATATACTTTGATGTTTTCAATTAATTTTTTTTTTTTTTTTTTTTTTAAGACAGGAAGTAAATCTACTATTGAAAGTTAACTTTTATACATACATATACATACGTTGAAATGTATTTTTGTTAGATGATAAAATATATAACTATAATGAATTTCAGATAACTAACGATATAAACTGAACTGAAATGTGTGTGTGTATATATCCACACTACTGTTTATTGAATTCAAAACTCAACCGCTACTGCACGTCTTACTTATAACTTCTGTAGTGAATCTAATATTGAATGTTAATTGCATATTTGAATTTTAAACATAAACTTTTATATATACATAGACATACATTGAAACATATATTGTTTAGTGATAAATGTAGAATTGTGTATATATATAACTATAATAAATTTTAAATAGATGATGGTATAAATTTAACTGAAATGTGTGTATATATATCACACTGATGTTTTATTAATTAATCGTTATATTCACATTAATTTCATATGAAATTTTGTTTTAACATTATAAAATTCTAAATAATATAAGATAAAAACTATAATCAATATTTAATATTAAAAAATAAAAACGAGCATAAATAACAAATAAAAGTGAGCAAGATATAAAAACTTGAACGAATACAAATAATGGGTATAATCAACATGTAATACACGTTATAAATATACTGTATATATATATAAAACTTGGATGATATATATATATATATTTTTAAATAAGTGGGTGGTTTAGAAATGTTTGTGGCATGGATTATTTTATTTCCAAATGCTTTTCTCTGTGCAGTTGTGCAAGATGTGTTGGAAAGAAGTCCATCATGAAACCATGTAAAGATTTATCTATCAACGAAACTTGGAGAAAACAGAGGAGAAAAATTTTCATTATCTTTTCATTCAATGCATTGATTTGAGCTACAAAGAAAGACATGTTATATAAAAGTCTAAAATGACTAACTAAAAAGGGTGTATTGGATTAAGAGTGCATTAGATTTAAAATTTTAGTAGTATTCAATCTACATTCTTTTAGAGTCTATTAAATTTTTGATATAACAATTAATATAGCGGTTAATAGGAGCGGGACGGCTGCCGCCGACATTGGCCATTGCAGGCCTTTCCCTGTCGGTAGGAATAAGTTTTAATGAAGAAAATAATGATTTTTGAGAAGATGACGCATTTTGCTGTTTAGTCTCTCATTGTTTTTCGGTTTTTTATTTAGCTCTAAAACCTTTTAATTTGTTCAATTAGGTCTTGAAATTAATTTTAATTGGATATAGAAAAATCATTGTAATTTCATCAAAATCAATCAAAATCTATAAAAAAAAATCTCACCAATTTCATAAAACTCCTTGTAGAATTCTAGTGGAATATGTGGAAATTTCAGAAAATCCTTCAATTCCATCAAACTCAAAAATTCTTTTAAAATCTAACACAATCCTAATCTAATATACTCCTTACTCTCACGCTTTTCACGATGGCTTAGCTAACTAAATATCTAAAATAATAAAATATCTAAGAATTGGAACTGCTAAGATAACAGTGGATTAGTGATATTAGATGACAGCTAACAAACTCTGTACAGCGCACCCCACCTGAAGTTGGAGTTGGGGAAAACTCACCCAACCCCAACTTGGGAATGTGTAAAGAGAAAGTGGTTGCAGGTAAGGATTTAGTGAACAAATGTGCTAACTGGTATTTGCTGGAGACATGAACAGGAGAAATGAACCCAGAAGAGAATTGTGCTCTAACAATGTGCCAATCTATGCCAATGTGCTTTGTCCTCTCGTGAAACACCGAGTTTCCTGCAATGTGTAAAGCAGCCTGGTTGTCGCAGTAAAGTTTGATGGGAAGAAGGGGAGGAAGCTTGAGATCTTGAGCATGTAGGAAAGCCATTGTAACTAACATACCGTAGAAGCCATGCTTCTATATTCTGCCTCTGCTGTACACTTACTGACAATGGCTTGTTTTTTTGATTTCCAAGAGATCAAAGAGGCACCAAGGAACAGGCAATAACCTGATATAGATTTCCTAGTGAAAAATAAGTACCCCAATCTGCATCACAATAGGCTATAAGATTCAAGTCATGCTGTGTCGGGTAGAAAAGACCAAGAGAAGAGCATCCCTTAAGGTATCAAAGCAAGTGCAATATTGCCTTAAGGTGACCCTTACAAGGAGCCTGCATGTATTGGCTTAATTGTTGAACACTAAATGTGATATCAGGTCTCGAAAGGTTCAAGTAAAGCAGCCTACCAATGAGTCTCTTGTATTGTTCAGGGTTGGCCAATAAAGGTCCCATGATAGGTTCTAGTTTTAGTCTTTGGATAAGAGGTGTTCTAACTGATGAGGCATTATTCAAACCAGCATCTTGTAATAAATCAGAAATGAACTTTTTCTGTGAAATGAAAATACCAGAAGGTGATCTCGGAATTTCAATGCCAAGATAATACTTGGTTGCACCAAGATCTTTAATGGTGAACTTTTTGTGTAAAAAATTCTTGAACTCGGTAATCAAAGATGCATCAGGACCTGTGATTAAGACGTCATCCACATACATTAATAATGCCAAAAGAGAGAAGAGTTGCTGTAAACTCTTTATTCCATTGTCTGCCTGCTTGCTTCAGGCCATACAATGATTTAGTTAATCTATAGAATTGCCCTTCTTGTGCTTTCACATAACCCTCAGGTGGAGACATGTAAAGTTCCTCATCGATATGACCATGCAAATATGCATTATTTATGTCAAATTGATGCAAGGGCCATGTTTCTGCACCTACTATAGCCAAAAGTAATCTAAGTGTAACTAACTTGGCCACAGGAGCGTATGTGTCTGTGTAGTCCAATCCTAATAGCTAGATGTACCCTTTGGCAACTAATCTTGCCTTAAACTTATCCACCGAGCCATCAAGAAGATATTTGATTCTGTAACCCATTTACTTCCTATGGGTTTCTTGTTAGGCGGTTAATGGGAAAGAACCCAAGTGTTATCATGTTCCCGTGCATCCAACTCCTTTTGCATTGCTTCTCGCCATTTCTCATCCTTACGAGCCTGCTGATATGTACTAGGTTCATGGTGTTGTGACACTTTGGCCTGGTAAGCTAAATGAGAGGGTGTAAAAACAAAAACAAAAGAATAATTAAATTGGTACTGTACCTGCTGAATAAGATGTACTAGAAAAGTCATTGCCATTGTATTGACTGGTGGGCAAAAAATCTTTCCACCAAGATAGTCTTGTAACTTGTCTAGAACTTCTTCTTAGTGGAGGGCTAGGATTTTCAATTATTTGGTAATCAGAGGAAGTGACAGGTTCTTAAGCTCAACGTGGACGCTGCATGGGACGCCAATACGAGAAAGGCAGGCTTGGGATGGATTTTGCGTGATGATATGGGTAGTTGGTGGCGAGTGCTGTCCCGTCTCTGATGCGGCAGGCCCAACTATGGTTGAGCTTATTGGTGTAAGAGAGGCTCTAATTTGGCTCAAGGACAAAGGATGGCTTATGAGAGTGGAGTTGGAATGTGACTGTTTAATGGTAACACATGCTATTCAACAACCCTTGTTGGATAATTCTTATTTCAGTATTTTGATTATTGACTTTTATTTTGTCTAAAAATCAGCAGCGAAATCAGTCCGCTCATTTTTTAGCACGAGCTGTTGTTTTTACGTCTGATTATTTAGAGTAGATTCTGCCCTTTAAATATTATTGGTGATATTTTAAATTTTGATTTTTCTAATATATAAACATTTATATTTTTTTAAAAGCACCATTTTATAAAATATTTTTCCTGTGATTTTTTACTTTAATTTCATGTAATATTATTTTTCTGTTAGCTTAATTAACCGAAAAAATATTATTCTTTCGAATGTATAATTTCAAAGTTACTATGATTTAATGGTCAGGATTATTTTCAACAGTCAATCCATATGATGGTCGGATCCAGCACAAGAATCCCAAAGTACGCTAACTCGTACTTAAACCGCAGCAATCAGCACTTAGTTACTCATATCAACACAGCAACATCCCCGAAAAAACAAAAAGCGCACGATATTAATCGTTCTGGTATTTGTTTCTGGAACCATCTCTTCTTGAATTGGGATTTTTTTTGGCTTTCCCTCTGCTCTGTTTCCCCTCCTGCGATTAACCAAGCGATCCCTTTTCTTTTCCTTTCCTCCAAACATACCTTGCCATGAAACGCTCAATCGATGACATTGGCGCTAACAGCAACAACAAGAATGGATCGAAACCCGTCTTCTTAACCAAAGCCCAACGCGAGCAATTGGCTCTCGAGCGCCGCCAAGAAGAAATCCAACAGCAGAAACTCCGTCAGCAACAGCTTCTCGCTCAAATCCGATCCTCTGACCCTAACAATACCAACCAGAAGCCTTCTGATTCTGAACGCCGTGACCGCGACAAGGACCGTGAACGGGACCGAGACAGAGATAGAGACCGCTCCTCGCGCCGTGACCGTGACCGTGAACGCGAACGTGAAGAGGAGGCTAAGGCTCGAGAGCGTGCTCGATTGGAGAAATTAGCCGAGAGGGAGCGTGAAAAAGAGCTGGATTCGATTAAAGAGCAGTATTTGGGGTCTAAGAAACCTAAAAAGAGGGTTATTAAACCTAGCGAGAAGTTTCGATTCTCTTTTGATTGGGAGAATACCGAAGATACCTCCAGAGATATGAATTCTTTATACCAAAACCCTCATGAAGCTCAGCTTTTGTTTGGCCGAGGATTTCGTGCTGGAATGGATCGAAGGGAGCAGAAGAAACTTGCGGCCAAGAATGAGAAGGAGATGAGAGAAGAAATTCGAAAAAAGGAAGGCGTTGAAGAGAAACCTGAGGAGGCTGCTGCTAGGAAACTTAAAGAAGAAGCTGCGGATATGTACGATACTTTTGATATGAGAGTTGATAGACATTGGTCTGAGAAGAAGCTCGATGAAATGACTGAGAGAGATTGGAGGATTTTTAGGGAGGATTTTAATATTTCTTATAAGGGATCAAAAATACCACGGCCTATGAGGAGTTGGAATGAGAGTAAACTGAGTTCAGAGTTGTTGAAGGCTGTTGAAAGGGTTGGTTACAAGAAACCATCTCCCATTCAGATGGCAGCTATTCCGCTAGGACTGCAGCAGCGTGATGTAATTGGAATCGCAGAGACTGGTTCTGGTAAGACTGCTGCCTTTGTTTTGCCTATGTTAACTTATATTTCTAGATTGCCTCCTATGAGTGAGGAAAATGAGGCTGAGGGACCTTATGCTGTTGTCATGGCGCCTACTCGTGAATTGGCACAGCAGATTGAGGATGAGACTCTGAAGTTTGCTCATTACTTAGGAATTAAAGTGGTTTCTATTGTTGGTGGACAGTCCATTGAGGAGCAAGGTTTTAGGATTAGGCAAGGGTGTGAGGTTGTTATTGCTACTCCAGGTCGTTTGCTTGATTGCTTGGAAAGACGTTATGCTGTCTTAAATCAGTGCAATTATGTTGTTCTTGATGAGGCTGATCGCATGATAGATATGGGTTTTGAACCCCAAGTTGTGGGTGTATTGGATGCAATGCCTTCAAGCAATTTAAAACCAGAAAATGAAGATGAAGAGCTTGATGAGAAAAAGATTTACCGCACAACTTATATGTTCAGTGCTACAATGCCACCTGCTGTAGAGCGGCTTGCGAGGAAGTATTTAAGAAACCCTGTAGTGGTCACCATTGGTACTGCTGGAAAGACGACAGACTTAATATCTCAGCATGTGATTATGATGAAGGAGTCAGAGAAATTTTTCAAGTTGCAGAGATTGCTTGATGAACTTGGAGATAAGACTGCAATTGTGTTTGTTAACACTAAAAAGAATGCTGACACTGTTGCCAAGAATCTAGATAAGGCAGGATACCGTGTGACAACTTTGCATGGTGGAAAGTCCCAAGAACAGAGGGAAATTAGCCTTGAGGGTTTTAGGACCAAGAGATACAATGTCCTTGTTGCTACTGATGTTGCTGGTCGTGGGATAGATATACCGGATGTGGCCCATGTCATTAATTATGATATGCCTGGGAATATTGAGATGTACACCCATCGCATTGGACGAACGGGCCGTGCTGGAAAGTCGGGTGTGGCTACAACTTTCTTGACTCTCCATGACACTGAGGTATTTTATGATCTGAAGCAGATGCTTATTCAGAGCAACAGTCATGTGCCTCCTGAGTTGGCTAAACACGAGGCTTCAAAATTCAAGCCAGGATCAATTCCTGACAGACCTCCTAGGCGCAATGATACTGTTTTTGCTCACTGAGTACTGGGGACATTTAGAAGCATCACTAAACGAAGGCTTCACCACTTTGTGCCATGTAATAGAGCTGAAGTATATTTGGTTGCAGGCAACATGCAGCAACGTAGTCTGTGTTTGACTGGAATAGACAATCAAGATTTTATTTATTGAAGTGCATCCCTTTCAGTGGTAACTAATGTCATTATTTTTATTTTGCCGCTAGTACTTTCTGCTCTTTACATTGTTTAGTAAAAAAAAAGGTTTCATTGATTATATGAGTTGAAAACATCATATATGATCTCACTTTTTTCTCCGAAATGGTTAGTTTACTCGAGAGGTTAATATGATTTAGAGTATCAACTATGGGACTTTTTTGGTTGGCTTCTTTGTATCAGATGTTAACATCTATTTCACATTATATTTGCAGTGCTTCTGTGTGAACTCTGCATTTGGATGTACTTTGATACCATTTTCTAATTAGAAAATGCTTATGAGGCTTGATGAAAAATCATATAGAGTGGATTTCTACCTTTATGTTTGAAAATTTTACAAAGTTTGTATGTTGATCTGAACAAAAATTTTGTAGTTTACCTTGATCACTTGGTTTCCAGATAATTATACATAGGAGTGCTTTATAGAATTTTTATTGGTGATTTCATTTATCAAACATTGAACTAGATAGGTTTTCTAATTTATGGGATACAAATTGCAAGTCTTATCAAAGTGGTATAGAGAAGCTAAGATTATTTCTTTTTATCTGTTGTGATCAACAAATCATGCCGTAGAAATATCATTTTGATAGTTCCTAATTTCTTTAGACATTGTTTGATTTTCTATCTGTAGTTGTACATGTAAGAGAGGAACTTGATTAGTTTAGTGCTTTTATTCTCATATTTTATTACATTTGCTAAAACTAAATCGTAGTTATTGTTCCAGTAACAGTGAACCAAACAATACCATTGCTACCATTCTTTCAGGGACTCTTTCTTTCTCCCAAGAAAAGCCACCTCAAGATTCTTTCTATAGATTATCCTTCTCTTCCCAAGAATCTTCCTCTCTCAGGCCTTCCTTCGATCCCGATCTATTACAGTTTCAATCTTGCAAGAAAGTGCTTTGTCAAATGATGTTGTATCAAGAGAGACAAGGAAACTGATAAATTGCAAATTGCAAATGCCCGCCCGCAGGAGTGGTAATTCGAGGTCTTTATTTGATATTGAGGTGTCTACTGTTTGATTGCAGCGGTTTTGGCTTGATAGGAGCTTGAGATTGGCTTTCTAATGTGAAATAATTTTAGATCTATGAATTGGATTTTCTTTTCTTGTTTCAGGAGTTGTTATTTTGTTTTGATTGATGATTTGCAATATAATTTATAGATTGTGATTTTGGATAAAAACTCACTTTTTTGCCAGTTATTTTTTTTTTCTTATTTTATGTATTATATATTATATATGAATTCATTACATTGTTTAACTATAATTAACACAATTCATTATATTATTTTAATGGTACCAAACCGTAAAAACGACCGCATCAAACCATCTTATTGTAATTTGGTTTGATTTTATTTTATTGATTAAATGTTTTGATTTGAGTTGAAAAATCTGTAAATCATAATTTTTGGTTTGGCTTGAAAATTTTTTCGAACCACATGAAACCAAATCGTTCTCACCTCTATCTTGTTCGGTAGCATTATATTTATAGTAGCTTTAAAGGTCATGGATGGACCTTCTTAGCTTTTAAAGATTTTAGTGTTTTACAGGTATTAATATATATTTTTTTCAATAATATTTATAATTTTTTCAAATTTAACTAATTAAATAATTAATGTCTTTTTTTACCATTTTAAGTTAATTAATTAATTAAAAATTTATTTTTACTGAATAATTATAATTTAATTCCTTATATAAACAGCAGCAGAAAACAATTAAGAGTTATTAAAATAATTAATATTTTTGAATAGAATTTGTGTTATTTCAATTTTTTTTTGAATCATATATATGATTTTTTTAAATTTAACTAATTAAATAATTAACACATTTTTTATCATTTTAAGTTAACCAATTAATTAAAAAATTATTTTTACATTAAATAATTAACACATTTTTTATCATTTTAAGTTAACCAATTAATTAAAAAATTATTTTTACATTAAATAATTAACACATTTTTTATCATTTTAAGTTAACCAATTAATTAAAAAATTATTTTTACTTAACAACATTTTTTATCATTTTAAGTTAACCATTAATTAAAAAATTATTTTTAGCATTAAATAATTAACAACATTTTTTATCATTTTAAGTTAACCGCAATTAACTCTAAAATTAATTTCTTACTATGAATAATTATAAATTTAAATTCTTTACTATAAATAACAGTAGAAAACAATTTTGAATTCATTATATATAAGAGTAGAATTCATTATATAAATAACAGTAGAAAACAATTCATTATATAAATACAGTAGAAAACAATTTTAATAAATATTGATTTTAAATATTTTAATAATTTTAAATTTTTATAGCCTCAATTTTTTTATAATTGATTTGTAAGATAAATATTTTTTAGAATTTTGTGATGTTTAAATTTAATTTAATAACTATAGTTAAAAAAATTTAATAAAATTGTAAATTATTACTGGGTAATATAACCATTTTTGAAAATTATATATATATTAACTAATAATAATATTATTACAAAATTGAAAAATATATAATAATAATAATAATATTATTACAAAATAAAATATTCTATTTGTGCTAATTATTTATTTAATCTTTTATTAAGTTAAATGATTATTATTTCTTACTGTATTATTGATTATTATGTCTTAGCATTTATGCTTTGTATTTATTTACAAATTAATTTCAATCAATAAGAAATTAAAACGAAACAATTAATATACCATAATTATAAACTTTTAAAACATTTTGTAATCCATGGAATCTTGTGTGGCATAACGTAACTATTCTAATCCTACGTGACACACTATTAAATTTTTTGCAATCCTACATGGCACTCTCTAGGTTAACAATTAATATAATACCATGTGGCACTTTCTAGGGAAAAGATGTCTACTTTATATATTGATTTCAATACTTCTCTATTCTCCTCACTACTGGACTTAAGCAATTTGCTAATTTTATCTTTTTACTTCCTCAAGCTTCACCTTGGATCATCGAGGGTTTCTCGTCTCTTATGATCATTTGTCTTAGATTTTCCTTTTTCTAGTCTTTAGTTTATATAACAATTCCATTTCTACTCCATTTATCCCACCATTTATTATTTATTTATATCTTCGCTTATTAATCTAATTTAATCCTCGGGATAGATAATATGGTAAGGACAAATCAAGCATGCAATCATTGTAAATAATTTGAACTTTAAAATCAAGTAATTGTGACATGTCATCAGAACAATAAACCTAAACAATTAATCGCTAACTTTACAATAAACAATTCTAGTAATTAAATAATAAAGGATTGTTCTCAAATCTAGTTCAAGAAACTCACTTTCTTATTATCTTTAAAACTTAGAAACAAAAAAAACACTAAGAACTGAAGTCCTTGGTACTATGCCTTGCAATGATCATGTGTACAAACGGTAGTGAATTGCGACATACCTAAATTGGAGCGCCATGTGTTATTTAAATCTAGTTGTGGCATAACATATGGTAGTGAAATTTAATAAAAGGAATTTGAAATTACTTCTTCGGTAGAAAATACCATGACTTGAATCGTGTAGAATACCATTCTAAAATGGTAATAGCACACTAAATGTAAATAGTCGACAAGTGGTGTATAGAAAGTAAGTGAACCTCAAGGTAATATTCGAAAATAATTATTGAATTAGAAAAATTTACAGTAATTAGTCTATTAATTGAGAAGAAAGAATATAGCAATATTAATAAAAAAGGATTGATAAGTCGAAATTTGACATGGTGGATAACGAAAGAAAAGAACAATCTACTGATGTGAATCCTGAGATAATTGATAATTTAAGATTTAATGTGTCAATCAAAGGAGAAAAGGCTTAGTTTAAGTTAAGATACAGATAATAAGACAACATGGAGTGGAGCTAATATGAAAAATCATAGATCCTAAGATTGAATAGATGAATAAATAATTTATGTGGATGTAACTTGAAAGTTAGGAAATGGATAAATCTTGCAATGGAAATAGGATTTACTGATAAAGAGTAAACACTGTTTAGCTATGTAGATAGAGATTTAACCGAAAGATCAAATAATAGGATGCATTTGGTAGAAATGAGGTGAAATTAGATGGTGCAAAAGTTATTTTTGGAAAACCCCCTAAATCAATTATTTCAGTTTAGCACATGGAAGAATAAACCATAATAAGTTTAGTGAGAAAGATACATATAAGTGCTATGGACATTAAGGATGATGAGCAGCTGTAATGAATTAGGAGACACACGAGTGGTTTGAGCACATGGAAGAATAAACCATAATAAGTTTAGTGAGAAAGATACATATAAGTGCTATGGACATTAAGGATGATGAGCAGCTGTAATGAATTAGGAGACACACGAGTGGTTTGAGGGAAATATATATGGAATTAATAAAGGTAATTACATACTCTAGATGGATGTAGGAAAAGAAACCTTGTGTATCCATTACAGCAATTGAGCCTTCTAAGGATATTACAAAATAGTGTTGAGGTGATTTGCTCAGATTTGTGAGCCTGAAACACAATCAAAATATAAGTAGTAGTCATGCTAGATATAACTGATTTTACAAAAAAAAAAAAAAAAATTTCAGGATGAATTTTCTTTAGGGGAGATTCAAACATCATATATTTTTATTTCCAAAACCTTCAAATTTTTATTAAATCAAAATTTGAATTTCCAATCTCAAGCGCTACAAACGTCGATGATTATATTCCAAGCTAAGTTTGCAAAGTTAGATTCAAGTTCGAAAATATATTCTCGGAACTTCTAGTCCAAAACCTTCTAAATTATTCAAGAGCAAAAAAAATTACTGCAATTTAATTTAATTACTCTAAGTCATAAATATTATTATCATTTATTAATACTATTATTGTTATTAACATTATTAATAAAGTAATAAAAATTTACTAGTCAAGCTTTAAACTAATTGATAGAAGGCTCTAGAAACAAATCCAACCAACAAAAGAAAAAAAAAAAAAAAAAAAAAAAAACCAAACAAAAGAAAAAAAAAAAAAAAAAAAAGAAAAATCAGGTCAACTGGCAATAAACACAAACCCTAGAACATCTACCGAATACGAACCACTTAAGGGTTAAGATAAACTAAACCAGTTGAAATCATAGGATTCTAGAAATTTCTATTGCGGCACATCATACCGGAAATTGGAGCCAATGGAAAGTTCAGACCTCACACAAGAAATCCACCTGGTATTGCCTCCCACGGGAATACTCTCCGCACATACGGCTCGCCCGGTCGACTTGCATACCTCCTCCTCTACCTGCTTTCCTCTCCCAATCAGCCCCAGCATCGACGCCGTCGAAACAGAATAAATACACCGGTACCCGAATCTGAGACCAGCAGCCCCGACCCCAGCTGCGCGGGAAAGAAACGGCCTTCGCTGTTCCATACCTCGAACCTACGCGCTCCCGAAAAGCTTTATTTCCGCCGATGGGGGTCGACGGCTGCTAGGCGCTGTGAAAGAAAGAATCGATTTATTTGGAGATCTCTCTCTTCTTCGGACGAAAAAGCGCTTCGGAGGGCCTCCAGGTTGGCCAACACTCGAACTTCAGAGTTGTTCGGCAGGACCACGCTTGATTGAGCAATTGCTCCTACGCTCTTCCGTCCATTTAAGCCCGCCAACAAAAATTCTCTTCGGGGCGATCCTTCGTGATTGAAGGTGAGTCGAAACAAAGGTCACGATCCTGTCGTTAGCGTATTTTAGATAAATAGGATTTATTGACGAAGCGCGAATTTTGAAACTGATACCCATATTGAGATGGATTTACTGGACAAAGTCTTTAGTTTTGAGAAAATTGATATTTGGATTTTAGTAAATAAAGTCGCCAATAAATTTTGTAGAAATTTTGAACCCTCAAGAATTGGAAATTTTACTGAGATGAGTCTTTCTTATATTTTTGGTCAATTAAGGACTGAGGGCAAGTCTCGTGGTTTGATTTCTCAGCTTCTTCCTTTTCGGAACAGGGAGCTCTCAGGCTGACACGGCCGTGGACAAAGTTGGGCTCCAGGCCGTTGCAGGTTTAGCGTAAATAGGTGGTCCTATTCCGGACTTTTTTGCCGTTGAAGCCATCTTTATTATTTTAGTGCCGTTGTGGTGAATAATAATGCGTCAACACCATGCTTTGGTTAAATCTTCCTTCATCTTGCCTATCCGTTGGGTTTTCTGGGATTTGGGTTTGTTTTGGTTTCGTTCGCCTAAGTTGCTTTTCGGTGATGAGAAAGAGAATTGTTTAACCGGAAGAGGACTTCACATAACGATAACCATTATAGGAAGCATAGTAACAACTTTAGGGCGAAACATAGCAATTTATCCCTGTTTAAAGTTATCGAGTACACTTGCCATTAAAAGCATTATGTGCACCATGAAACGTATGGGTCTCCTTATTAGGGAATTTTACGTTCGGCAGGTTTTAGCCCCAGTGTGAGGAACAGAGGACGCAACGGCGTGCTCCGCGATTATGTCGAGCCAGGGCTGTCAATATTGTATGGGTAGGTCTCCGAGCACCTTTACCGCATATGGCCACCTAACACACAATCACCTGAAGCTTTGTTATTTCCACTTTCTTATCTTAATGTGAAGGGTTGAAACGGGAAGAGCGTCTAACCCGAGATGGCTCATATGGCTTTCTTTAGCTCCCACAAAGTGGGTACAAAACTTGCCACTGAACAAAATTAAAGATTTAAGGGTATGTAGGGCAAAATCCAGTAAACGTGAGGGCCAATTTATAACTCCACTAAAAATCTAAATTTGCTGGACCATTTTATAATGCACTCAACAACGCACAGTCCTCTACCTCCTATAATACCTTTGTTTAAGGTCTCTGATATACCGAGATTAAAATGCAACTCCAACCTAAAAATTTTGTTAAGAAGACCTTTGAAAAGCCGAAATAAATTGCAGTTATATGAAATAATAAACACAGCGGTTATTTGCGTTTGTAACCCCTTTGAGAAAGATCAAAAAAAAAGGGTAACTAGTTAGTGTACGTATATCAAGAGCATAGTGATAAATAGCACTCTCAGCACTTAAGTGACTAGTTGGTTGTCGACCCCTATAAAGAACGAGTAAGATGAGTAAAATTTCAAAGTTCCCGCGTTAAACCATGAGGTTAGATGGTGTAGTTACGTAAGGACTAAATTCTATTTTTGTTCTCAAATATTGACCATTAAACCCACTCGGCGGAAATTCTATTTGATATCAGATTGCCTAACCAGAAAAGTAAGATGAGTATTTTAGTCGGTTAACAGAGGTTAGATGTGTAATTCTAATAAACTATGGTTTGAAAAGCTTAACCACTTCCAATATTGATATAAGAATTGAATCTAAGAGAATAGTGATTATAATTAGTTATTGTTAGAAGTGAGCTTTAACAACTAAAGTAATTGAATTACCATAAAGCTATTAATGTGGTCAGCTTATGACTTAACAAATAATCTTATATGAATATTTAATGTTTATTATCTGTTAGTAGAAATCGAGATATGTATATACATATATGTTTATGTAAATATTGATGAATTGAGATCAAATACAGTTGTGATAATGTAAATTTAAAATGACATACTATAGTAATAGTAATAGTAATGATGAGATATGTGGATATTGATAAATATGATGCGATGACGGTGGATGGGATTATGATTTGAAATTGAATCGCCTGATGGATGGGCTATGCAAATTGAATGTTTCATATTATTTGAATCAGGTAGACAGCTCTATTTTAGTGGAGATGCTGCCGGGTTTTCCGTAGGACAAACTTAAATAATGAAATTAACTAATTTTTATTTTGATTAATTAATATTTACGCAAGATTGTTTAGTTAAAGAATTATAATAAGGTTAGATAAGAATTATAATAAGGTTAGATTAGCATGTATGACATATATAGATTACAATAAGAAACTTAAGATTAGGAAACCGAAATAAGGGAGTTATGTCGGTCTAGAATATCTGGATTAAATGATTCGGGAAAAAATAGATACAATATTATTAAAAATTAGAACTTAGAAAGGACAGTTAGAATTCATGAATAGTAAACTTATTTTGATTCTTTCTTTAGATATTCTTACGGGTCCCGAGGAATCAAATTCCAAATAGCAGAGTATTGCGAAAGGAACATAGCTTTTAACTAAACTGTATAACGGTGAGTAGTGTTAGATAATTCGCATCATCCAATTGCATTTGCATCCATGCATACACGGCTAAATGCTAGACATGCATTATTTAGTAAATTGTTATTTTGTGTTGCATTATTCGTTGCTATTGGAAATGGTATGATTAGTTGTAATGTGCTTTATGCGTGCTTTGCTTGTGTGGAATTGAAATGAAGTGGGTCACCGTTGGGTTTGTGAGGGCGGTCTATGATACCGTAGGCCATGTACGGGGAGATCGGCGCCCTCGTGTGCATCTGACGAAATATGGTATGGAAGACCATAGTGTGACCTCCTGTTGGTATGGAAAAAAAAAGAAAGTAAAAAAAATGAGAGGCTGGTCAAGTGAGGTTGAGATCGGTCGGCCATGTATAGGGGATCGGCTCCCTGGTGAACACGTGATGAGAGGGCAGGTCATGTGTGAGGACGGCTCGTCGAGGGTTTTGGTGACGCCACCGACCAATTTCCACGTGATGTGATTATGTGAAAGTGTTAATATTTGTGATTGTTGTTGTTATGTCATTTGTGTGATCAACTGCATGATCACGTGATGTGATTATGTGAAAGTGTTAATATTTGTGATTGTTGTTGTTATGTCATTTGTGTGATCAACTGCATGATCGTATAACTAGTCGGATGATTAGATTGATTTATTTACGCATTTGTGTGATTGTGTAGAGTGAGAGAGTTAACTAACCTACTCACTAAGTTTCGGCGCTCACCTTTGCCTTAAAATTTTTCCAGTTTAAAGCAAGTTGAGGAATCCTTTTGAAAGCAACTTGGTTGAATATTGAAATGGTGAAACCAATTAGTTATCTGCGAGGTCTTCAGAAAAGTATTGTAAATGTAAAAATTAATGAATGTAATTACTTAGAGTTCTGCAATTGCAATTTGGGTGACTATATTATTATATGTGTATATTTTATTTATTGATGAATAATCCATACAAATATTGGATAGAGCCTAGAACCCTTGTGAGTTAATTGATGAAAGGGGCGTAAGGATTAGGTATGTAAAAAGATCAGTGAATCCAATCTGTTGAAGCTTACTATGGGCCTTAGAGGCCTTAAGCCTACCCAAGTCCTAGTGCCGGTCCGGCCAATGGTGATGGGTCGTGACATTTAGTTAGTTAAAGAATGTATTAACCTAGAGCGCAATTGTGGATGAATTGAGTACTTTGGTGCAAATGATGGAATGTTGTTAGTAAACTATCCATAGTAGAAAGAAAAGAACTATTTTTCATTTGTTTATTTTGTTATTGTAATTATAAAGCTTTTTGATAAACTAAGGAGGTGATGTTTAGTTGGTAATGATTTGAATTGAGTTAATAATTAGGCAAATGATTAAGAAGAATGAAAAATAATTATGACGGATGGAAAAATATTGATAAATATTGCCCGATGGATGGGTTGTGACTACATTATATATATATATATATATATATATATTGAAAAATATGATATTCAGCCTGTGGTTAGTCCGAGTTTTCAAGGAGACGCTGTTGAATTTTTAGTATGATAAATGAAACCATTCACAATATGAATACAATAAAAGTAACTGATAACTGAATAAATAAATTGTAATAAGGCCTTAATGGGGATTTGAAGGAATGAACTGAGATAAGAGCTTAGGTAACTTAAGATGATATGTTAAGGTAACTAATTTAAAATATAAAAATAGTTAAGTCATAATTAAAGATTAATAGCTTTTAAAAAAATATGAATTCTTACCTGTACTCTTTTTATTGTACATTTTCAAGGCGCGTCAAGAGATTCAACAGTAGCCGTTAGAGGATCGAATGGAGGAATACAAATTAGCTAATATGGCCTGAATTGTGAGTAGTACTAAGTATTATTTATACCTAAACCATACATATCTACTCGCATTTTTATGATTGACCTCATCATGCTAATGGCATTGCACATGCGCTTATTTTAGTGTGATTAATGTGTTTATTGATTGAGTAAAGTGTTCTCTTATTTTATATGCTTACCTTGGATGCTATATGTTTGTTCTATCTGAAATTGCTTACCTAATCGTATTGAAGTTGAAGTTAAATTTACACTTACTAAATGTGTAAATGTTTTGATACTCTGGTCATGGTCACGTGTGATTACTTGCAAACTTGTGATTTGATTGATAATGTTTGATCATGTAATTAAAGTGCCTTGCTGTAAATATTTATTTTGACTTATGGATGTGTACATGGGTGAATGTTGTGTGCTGTGAATATGGGAAGCGGAAAATGAGAACATGGAAAGGAGAATCATGTGGTTAATGGTACCTTAGCCGTATGGGGGATCGGCTCATCGGCTCATATTTGGGGGATGTGCTTCTCGGTCCGTATGTGGGGGATGGATTCCTAGGTAGAGGGATGGGCTCCTCTATCGTGAAATTATGGATAACAGATCTGCGAATTGACAAAGATGTGGTGTGTAACATGTTTATTGTGAAATGTGGAACGATATGATATTAGCTTTGCAATTTTTGAATAACAGTTATCTAAAGTGATATCCTACATCATAGGCCACACCGGCACGACCATATCTACCTTGCGTATAAATTTCATGATGAGTTGGTGTATGGCATTTTGTGGTTGAAGTGTGTGACATTTTAGATAATGAGGCAAAGCATATGCTTGACTGTGCATGGTGTTTATAATATTTATAACTACTCACTGAGCTGAGGCACTCACCCCCGCCTCATTTATTTTTCCCAGGTTATTAGCTTCTTCTTTCTACTACCATGGGCGCCTCTGGAGCAGCTAGATCTTCTCTTATAAAAAGGACATTGCTTGCCTATATGTAGTTAGAGTTTTGCAATTACTGCAATCTTTTGTAATTGCAAACAAACTTCAAAATTTGAATAAACGTAAAAATCCTTAAACTCTACCCCAACAAAAACCCCTTGTGCTCTTTGTCCTCTCCTTTTCTTTTTCAAATTCTAATTGATAGCTTTAACGAACAAATCATGTCTTGTGTTACCTTCAACTTGGGGCCTTCTCTTAAACTAAATACACAGAGCACTAGTTCTTTTCGATTATCTAACAGTTTACCATGTTTACATGGCAACTCTTCTTTTTCTCCTTCATCGTTGTTCTTTTTGCAATCATTGAGTTTTTGTCACGGCAGAAATCCTTATTATCGCCATGTAATCAAGGGGTCAAGGTCGTTTTCCGCTGTGTTCAAGTGTGATGCCGCGCAGTCACTTTTAATTGATCCCCATGAAAATGGTGCTTCTGGTAAGTATTCGGATTTTATTGTTTTTTCTTATTACTCACTATTTATAGCAAAAGATTAATTCTTTTTTTCCCTATAATTTGAGTTAATTGTGACGATACTCTGAGGTTTTAGGTGTTTTATGTTTGGGCATTTTAGCTTCTTGTTTGCGAGAAAGAGTGCAACTTCTGTGCAGCAATTGACAATCAAGAGGATACTTCCTTAACTTTATATGAAGTGCATGTTTTGCTTTTCCCCAAACATTTCTAGAAAAGTTACAAAAACTGGTATAGCCAGCAGCAAATTTGCTCAGTATTGAATTGTACTGCAGAAAACAAGCAGTAAGTGTCTACAATTCTAACGTTAGATTGGTAACTTGTTTCGTAGTCCCAACATTAATCCAATATCATCTAGTCAGTGGCAATCATCAGTATCCTGTGCTTATGTTTTTGCAATGAATGAATAACAGAGAATGGAAGGGTTAATTTTTTTATTTTTTGGCTATGCTAATTGGACTGCTCGACTAGGAACAGTTGCTGTATTTTTTGTATCAGTTGAAGCATTGTATTAAAATGGTTGTTTAATCTATTTACTAATGTTGCAGAAGAGAGGGTTGTTGTGTTGGTTATTGGTGGAGGGGGAAGAAGAAGAGAGGGTTGGTTGTGTTTTTGGTTATTGGTGGACGGGTCTATTTACTAATGTTGCAGAAGAGAGGGTTGTTGTGTTGGTTATTGGTGGAGGGGGAAGAGAACATGCACTTTGCTATGCCTTGCAACGATCTCCATTGTGTGATGCTGTCTTCTGTGCCCCTGGTAATGCGGGGATTTCTAACTCTGGGAATGCTACTTGTATTCCAGACCTCGACATCTCAGATAGCTCTGCTGTGATCTCCTTTTGCCACAAATGGAGTGTAGGATTGGTTGTTGTTGGACCAGAGGCACCTCTGGTTGCTGGCCTTGTAAATGATCTAGTCAAGGCTGGAATTCCCACTTTTGGTCCATCTGCAGAGGCTGCAGCTTTGGAAGGTTCAAAGAATTTTATGAAAAGCTTGTGTGACAAATATCAAATTCCAACTGCGAAGGTCTGTTTCTCTTGATTGCAGAATGAAGTAGACAAAATTCTACTGTTTGTGCTTAATAGAATAAGTTGGAATACAATTCATGCCCTTTTCTTTGGTCAAACTAAAATTTTCAACTTTTAATTTTCCTTCAGCTTACAATTCTTTATTTTAGCAACCCTCTTTTTCATATTTTCCTCTTTTGTTGCAGTACCAAACATTTTCAGATCCATTTGCTGCAAAGAAATATATCCAAGACCAAGGAGCTCCTATAGTTATAAAAGCTGATGGCTTGGCTGCTGGAAAAGGAGTTGTTGTTGCTATGACACTGGAAGAGGCGTACGAAGCTGTTGACTCGATGCTTGTGAAAGGTGTTTTTGGTTCTGCAGGTTGCCGTGTTATTGTTGAGGAATTTTTGGAAGGAGAAGAAGCATCTTTCTTTGCTCTGGTGGATGGAGAGACTGCTATTCCTTTAGAATCTGCTCAGGACCATAAGCGTGTTGGGGATGGTGATACAGGGCCAAACACTGGTGGGATGGGGGCATACTCCCCAGCTCCTGTATTAACGAAAGAACTTCAGTCAGCAGTTATGGAAACTATAATTCTTCCAACAGTGAAAGGAATGGCAGCAGAGGGTTGCAAGTTTGTCGGAGTCTTATATGCAGGGTTGATGATTGAGAAGAAGTCTGGCTTACCTAAGCTTATTGAGTACAATGTGCGGTTTGGAGATCCGGAGTGCCAGGTTAGTTGCAAAAACCCCTACTAAGCATTTCATATATAATCTTTCTATATAATAGTGATGATCCAAGTATTTTTGTGTCATTAGTACTGTAATGTGGCATGAGATTTAATGACAGTTTGCTCTTGGGACCTCTTATGTTGCCTTCATTGATATCTGACAAGTTGTAAGATTGTTACTAGTTATTGATAGAGTGTGTTGAGGTGGAGAGCTTTCTGTAGCAATAAACAGGCTGATGACTACATTCTATTTTTCCTGATTTTTTGTTAAATGCTGCAGGAAATATATTATGACCAAAGTTGGCTGAATTCATGTTGTTTGTATCGTTTTGCAGGTGCTAATGGTTCGTCTGGAATCTGATCTGGCACAAGTTCTACTTGCAGCTTGTAGAGGAGAGTTAAGTGGAGTATCACTAAACTGGTCCCCAGGGTCTGCCATGGTAGTGGTACTGGCAAGTAAGGGTTATCCTGGACCCTATGAGAAAGGGACTGTGATTGGAAACCTTGAAGAAGCTGAAAACGTTGCTCCAACTGTAAAAATATTTCATGCTGGAACAGCTTTGGATGCAAATGGTAATTTCATTGCTATTGGAGGCCGTGTTCTTGGGATTACTGCCAAGGGAAGAGACCTTCAAGAGGCAAGAGATAGAGCCTATCAGGCAGTTGAGGAAATAAATTGGCCAGGAGGGTTCTACCGGCAGGACATCGGGTGGAGAGCACTTCCCCAGAAGCAATTTGCTACAACAAAATGAATTAAATGCTTAGGTAATGGATGTTGCCCATTTCAGAATATAGATGTTCTATATTGTAGTGTCTTTTATGCATGAAAGATAAATATGGTGAAATGATCCATATGAGGCAGGCCGTCATAAGAGTCTGAAAGAAAAATAGCCCTTGGGACATTTCTTCAATTTTTCTTCATGGAGGGTTTACACCGAATAAAAGTTTAAACTTCCATGTTTTCCCACCATTAAAGATTAGCAAATTTGCATCAGGTTACACATGACAACTCCACCTTCCAACTTTCATATGATTCTCATTGAAAAGTCAGTTGTATAATTGCATTTGCATGAGATGCTCGCTAAAATTACCATTTTCGTTCTTTTTAAATATTTGCAGTAGTATAGTTTTTTTTTAGTATTCATATATTATATTTAAGATATTGGAGAAAACTAAAAAAAGGTTTAAAACAGATTTGGTTTGCAGGCGTTTGATTGATTAGATGTTAGAATTAAATAGAGAAATGATATGTTGATTGATGAGTTGGAATCTAAAATATAGACAGAAGATAAAATAATAATGGGTAGATTGACAAAGTTACTATATTGATGGAAGGATATTGTTTTCAGAAACAATGGAAATGAAAAAACACATCTAATTTTCGAACTCATCCAGGATTATCTTTCATTGCCCGTCACTTGTAACAATCTGGATATCAACCCACTTTAATTCCTAATTCTGAACTAGTAGAATCAAATATGAACAATAAGACTACCCTGAAATGTTCATCACCTCTCTCTTATATTAATTCTTTCTTTCTCTATTTTCCATTTAAATTTGAATTTTTTTGTTTCAGGTTTTATTATTTCTTTGTAATTTAACACGTTCAATTATTAATATTACCTCATATTAATTATTTAAGGATAATTGTTAATCAATCATATTACTGTGAGAATAATATTAATATTTTTTTTTTTACTTATGGAAATATTGGAACATTGTCAATATTCTCTTATAAAATAATATATAAAAATTTCCATTAAAAAAAACTGCTAATGGAATGCATTTATTTGTATAGTAATTATGCTAGTGGAATGCATTTAATTTGTATAGTAAATTATGGCTAGACGAATTATATATATATATATTATTTATATATTATATATATATTATATATAGATATATATATAATATAATTATTTTTTTTTTTTTTTTTGAAATGTATTTTTTTTGAAATGTAACGAGAATATATAATTTGTAACAGATTCCACCAATTATTTATTGTTTTTACTATTCAAACATAATAACTGCAAATATTTCACCAAAATAATTAATAAAATTACACGCTTATGTATGTTTCATTTCAACTCCACCTTCATGTTTTGAAAAGTAATAGTTATATTTGCATGATATGTTCTCTAATGTTAAAAGTACATTATAATTGTATATTAGATTCATTTTCCCAAAATTTAATATCTTTAGAATTTATTTAAAAAATGATTATAGAATTATTATAGTTGTATATTTAAGATATTGGAGAAAATTAAAATAAATGTTGTGTGTAGTGACAGAGGGAGGGAAATTGGAAGGGGCCACCGCCCCTTGCCTCCATAAAAATTTTCAGTCTATTGATTCCTTTATTGCTTAATGGCATTTGGTTCTAATACTCAGATCAAGTGATCTGAGTTTCAAACATGTTCCTGTAATATTATTTTAAACAAAATATTTAAACTATTAAATTATTGTGGACAAACATGTATGATTTATATATTTTTATCATTAATTTTAATTTTAATTTTTATTTAATTTTAGTTTATATCATTTTAAAAACATCATGTGAGACTTATAAAAATTTTAAAATTTTCAAAAAATTTCATTAGTCTATGTTAATATTATATATGAAATTTTTTAAATTTTTAAATAAATATGTTAATTAGTAATTTAATAATATAAACTTCTATTACTTACAAAAAAATCCCAAAAATGGTATAAAAATAATTTAATGAAATATAATTTTTTATTTTATAAGGTAAATTAAAAAAAATTTTAAAATTAGGGGCCGCCATCGCCGGCCACCCCTAATTCTGTATATATTTATGTTGCATGTACAAAATCATTAGTACAGTTAATTTGACAAATACTATTAATATTATATTCTTCAAAACATTATTAATACAAATCAATTTTACAAAATTTTTTTTTCTTCTGTATAAATAATTATTTCAAATGAACATCAATTTTAAATTTCATTTTGTATTGAAATGTATTCTATACTTGTTTAAAATATGAAAATTCAAAATTTATTTATAAATGAGTTTTTATAATGAAATTTATTTGTAAATGAAATAAATTTATTTTAGTTCAGATTCTAAATTTTAAATATATGAATTAATCACAAACAAGGTATTTGTAAATAATTTTATTTATTTATTTATTTATTCATTTATTTTTTTATTTGAATTTTCCTTTAGCCGTGATACGAGCATATCTACAAACCAAATATTGTGGTAACCTAGTTTTACAGTTTGACTACCGTGAAATTGACTCGCCATTGAAGGGCACAGTGTAAATTTGGAAGAGGCGAAAGGGTATTCAAGTAAAAGCATAATTTAACGGCAGTATCTAGATGCAGGCACATGACCGTCAACAACCTCCCTTATTTCCTTAGGAAAACAAAACAAAACCAAAGAAGAAACCAAATAGCTTTACCTGTAAGCCGGAGACGCCGTCGTTTTAACGCCGGTGCCTCCACCCACCACCACCTCCCATTCTCTCCTCGACGACTAATTCCAAAGAAACAATGAAGGGAGCGTCTGGCTTCTCCCTGCCCGTAGCCGTCGTCATTTTAGCCATTATCTACATTTACTTCTCCACCCTCTTTGTTTTCATCGACGGTTGGTTTGGTCTCCTGACCTCGCCGGGGATCATGAACGCCATCGTTTTCACAGCCGTGGCTTTTATGTGTGTTCTAAACTATGCTTTCGCTATCTTAACGGATCCGGGTCGGGTCCCCGCCACATACATGCCCGACGTAGAAGATGCTGATTCCCCTATCCATGAGATCAAACGCAAAGTAAAGTAAAATATTTATGTTTTTATACAGAGAGAAAACGATTAGCTTATTAGGATATTTGTTCTTTTGAAATGTTTTATTATATATGCTATTGTGCATTAGATCTTCGTTTCTGGTATAACTTTTAATTTGATCATATGATAAATGATAAGGCTGTGGTGGTATAAGCAATGTTATAAGCTGCTTAATGGGTTTATTGATCTGATATTATCTATCTCATTTGCTAATCTGGAGGATGAGCAATCATAGAATATGGCTATATTTATTTGTATAGGATATGCTTATACTATCTTCTTAAACGGGTATATGTATAGAATCTGTGCATATGTGATATGTTAAATGGAGTGCATATATATATATATAGAATCTCTGCATTCTTTAATGCACAAAAACAGCAAAATGATTTTAAATTGTGATCCTAATTTAAAGTGGGAGGAAATGGTTCTGTGAAGAACTTGAATATGAATTAATAAATAAATGGATTGGAGTGATTACCTGCCTCCACAAGTTTACAACTTTATTGGCTGACTAGATCTCTATAACTGTAATAAGCTTGCATTAGGGCAGTCAATTTGTCTTTTTATGATCCTGGTAGGAAATACTTTCACTTGTGGTTCAGCGTGCTAGTCGTTAGTATTGACATCCAATTGTCTTTGAATTTTCTTTGTCGTGGCCATTATAACTTAATTTTTTGTCAAATAGATATCTTAAATGTACAAATGAATTGTAAGCATCTGTTTTTCACACTGCAATGCAACTCAAGTATTTACGTGTAAAGTAAAGAAACTAGCCACATTGCTTTGCATTTGCCATTTGGTGTTCAATCCTCATTAGTAGCTACAAACTAATTTTGATTGTTGGCACTAGGAAAGAGTTGCTTTTGGATTGTCGTATTCATAAAATATTGAATGCACTATGCAGCAAAGCATATTAATGTTGAGGCCAGCCACATGTCCCTAACAGGGCAAATCGAGCATGTGGAAATTGATGGTCTGAAAACTAATTAAGTTCTCACTCTGTGCCTTGTCCAGTCATATATTCTTGTTTTGTCGTATTCAAAAAATACATGCTTAAAATGAGGCTAACACTTTTTACTGAAAATCTAAATTAATCAAGCCTGCAGAAATTGATGTTGAGAAAATAAGTGAGCTTTCTAGTGTTTCCTTTAAATATCCTTTAAATATCCAGCTTTTATATATGTTTAATCAAAGTTAAATATATGATCTTTATATTTTGTGCTTAAAGTTTGCCGTTCCTTTGGTGAAATGTGTGGACATTCTATCTAGAGAATTGGTTCCGTTCAACACCTGAGTTGTGTAATGTTTCGGAATCTTGATTTCATTTTATTGGGATATGATGATATTGTAATATATATTTTCCTATTTTCGTTGTAGATTGTGGTTGTCTTGCCACATCATCATTGTTTTTGACTAATCTCTTCCAATGCATTATTGATATATCAAATCTTCCTCATTTATATTAACCTTTTATGTAAGGCATGAATTTATACTTGTGCCATTTATTTTATTAATGTTTCTTTTTCCTATGTTACATAGGCTTGTAGCAATAGTATTATCGTTTGTGGATGTTTGTGAATAAGGAGGTCAACTTCCAATGAATCAGTTGCCAGTGTAATATTCCTCCTAGACAAAGCCAATTTAAGTGTTTCAAATTCATCAATTAAGATTTATAGCAAAGGTCTTGTTTCCTGAAGATTAAGAAATATTGATGAGTTAATGATCCTCTATGAAAACATATTATAAGGCTAGTGATTTATTAATCTTTTCCTAATATCCTTCTTGATCATCATGCTTCATGGCATACAATTGGGTAGTCATGGCTGAGTTTGAATTAATTTCCCTTCAGGATCCATATTGAATTAGCAAATATTCGTCCTAACCCATTTCTCTATTTAGATAGTGAAGTGATGAGTCCTGGAATACCAAGAAACAATTTCAAAGCCTGAAATTGCAATGTTTGCTAAAGGCTTGCAGTTATCCATATTATTGAGAAGCTTGGATCTTGACTACCATATATGACACTTTGTTAAAATTTTTTGCAGGGTGGAGACTTGAGATATTGCCAGAAGTGTTCTCACTTTAAACCGCCCCGAGCTCATCACTGCCGTGTTTGCAAAAGATGTGTGTTGCGAATGGTACACAAGATCTGGTATTCATTAATGCCTTATCTCAAATATTGAAATTAGTGTGTTAAAGTGCTTCCTTTTGTCTGTAAGGACCACCACTGCGTCTGGATAAATAACTGCGTAGGCCATGCGAACTATAAGGTCTTCTTCGTGTTCGTTGTGTATGCTGTAATTTCTTGCTTCTACTCCCTGGTAAGTCATTCTCTTCACCCCAAACATGACTTGAACACCTACAACTTCATGAGTATGCATCCATGGCTTGTTATCCTTTGTTTCCTTTTAGATTGGACCTATCCTGTTGTGACTTTGCACATTGTTGAATAGAAAGTGCATATAAATAACTGCTCCATAATTTCACTCCTCTTTCCATTCGCATAAATCCTCAGGTCTTGCTTGTTGGTAGTCTAACTGTTGAGCCTGACCCTCAAAAGGATGAGCAGCAAAGTGGTGGCTCTTTCAGAAGCATATATGTATGTGCCAATTAACATTCCTATGGTCTTATCTAATCTTCAATTGATCTCACCTTTTATATACTATTTCAGGTTATTTCTGGACTGTTGTTGATCCCCTTAAGTATAGCACTTGGCGTTCTCTTGGGTTGGCATATCTACCTCATTTTGCAAAACAAAACTACCATTGAGGTTATTAGAAATTAATTAATCATCTCTTTGTTGCTGCATCTATTTGATGGCCTGTTTGATCTTAAATTTGGATGATGTTCTTATTTGGTATTTTGGCAGTATCATGAAGGAGTAAGAGCTATGTGGCTTGCAGAGAAAGGAGGAGATGTCTATAAGCATCCATATGATATTGGAGCATTTGAAAATCTGACAATAGTGAGCACCTGGTTTCCTTTTTTCCTTTTCTTTTTTCTTGGGTCAACAATCTATGTTGCTTCATTAGAAATCTTGGAATAGAGTATATATTCTTCATCATAATTCTCCATATGCATGCCCCAATACAGTGTTCCACTTTCCTCCTGCTGCTGCTTTTTTCTTTTAAAACAGGAAGTCAATTTTCTGATCCATTTGTTTTGCGAAAAATATTTTGCTGGAAAATCTGCATGTGTTCCTGTATTTAGGGGCTTAGCAAAATTGGTAAGGGAAAATTAAAAGTTTCTCCTAGCTAGAGAAAACTTGGCCATTTTTAAGAAAATTGGCTTCCTGTTCTGTGAATAAGAAAATCATTTCCTGCATTTTCTCAATTTCATGTAAAAGATAGAAATTTCTAAGGGAAATATGCTAAATATTTTTTTTTGCAATTACAGGCCACTTGCACCTCAGATAGCTGTAACTTAAATCTTTTTATGTGATATCTTTTCTATTTAATTATAACTTGAAAAAACAAGAAGTCATTATAGGTCCAAACATTTTTGTAGGTTTTTTTTCTAATGAGGAATATCTTTTCCCATTGTACTCCAAATGCTAAAAAGTAATCTCTAATTGATTTTGTGTTGCAACCAAACAACAAAATAATTTTTTTTCCGTAAAATATTCTTATTCCTTGATGAGGATAGAAGACTTCATACTTTCTTTTAGCTTTTATGTTGTTGCCCTCTGAGCAGCTGTATGCTGTATTCAATTGAATTGAGCATGCACAAATATGCTTATTATCATGATCACTTAGCTGGTAGGCACAACTTTAAAATTGCAATACCTACAAATTTGGTTAATTTGTTAATGTTCTTTTTGGGTTTTGATATTTTTGCCTCGGATAAAACCTATTCATTGTTCTGGTGATAGTGGAGCATGTTGGGAGGGACTGAATTTGATTCCAATTTCCTGTTTTTCTAATTTGATTCTGTGCTGGTGGCAATATCTGTATGTACAGAATGCTAGTACAAATTCCATTGGAAATTGTTAATAAACTTCAAGGAAACTTGAAAATTTACCACTGCACAAGTTGTATTACCTTTCTTGGTTCTACATACAGAAAATTAGCATATTCACAAGCTGCAAGACCACATGGTACAGATAGACAAGTAAACTAGTCGCGTGACATACCTTACTTCATTGTTATCATACTCCTGTGGCATGGCTGAATTAGCATCCTAGACCTGTTCCTAGTTAGCTACTGTTGATCATGCTTGGGCAAGGCTTAGACTGGTCTGCATATGCAAGATTCTGGTTAAAGTATGTTTTATGCAGAGTCTGTTAGGAACTGTTGTATAAACTTCAAACCTAAGGATTGTGGCAATATAGAGTTAACCTAGATATAAATTATTAGAAGGTAGAGACTGTTTTAAAATATTAAATACATAAATATTCTTTTATACTCGGCATTATAATTTTATTCGGCATATTTGAACTGTTCTCTGTTTGATTGCTTCAGGTACTGGGTCCAAGAATTTTCTGTTGGTTTTGTCCCACAGTAAGACATATTGGTTCAGGTCTTCGCTTTCGAACTGCATATGATAACTCTACTATTGCAACCACATCCAAGTAAAGCTTCATTCTGCTTTGTAGCGTAAATGCATCAGGAATAGATGGATGCAGAACATGTTAACTGTTGAATGGTGGATTCCCACCAGCGCATAGACGATATTCGGCAATGTGTCCCACCATTAGGCTTAACTTGGCTTAGTTTTGGAAGGGAAAAAGTATACTTTAACAGAAGCCGGTGTCAATGAAAAGCTTTACTGCAGTTCAGGTGATATAAGGGTGCAAAGAGCATTGTCAATAGTTGAAGCCAGTAGGACTGTGAACTGTGAATTATAAGTAGGCATGGGAAAGGTTTTTTTTCTTTATCTTTTTCTTTTTCTTTTTCCTACATTTTACCTTTCAGTTTTCCTGTGGGAACTTTTTGGACAATGGAGGGAATCCTGTGGAGCTGACATACAACTGTGCAGTTAACACCTTGTGTATAAAGAGGGAATTGGAATTCCTGCTTAGGGATGACAGCATGTAGAAGAGGCGATGAGAGAGAGCCTGTAAGACAAAGACAAGCGGATCATCGTTGTAACATAGAACTCATGTAATCTTTGTAACATTAAACATTAAATAATAAATCAAAGTTGTTAAAATGTTTCATTTCCAAGAGTCATCATGATCTTGCATTAAATAGAGAGAAAGAACAAGGAGAAAAGAATACTCGAGCATATCATAATTGAAATTTTGAATTGAAAACTAATATTCAAAAATAAAATAAAATAAACAATAAAAACGTACTATAACACATGTAAAATTAAAATTAACATATTGACTCCTTATTTCTACTTTTATATTCATTTTAGTTAAAGATGTCATACCGATAAAAATGTAATTTATTTTAGTTAATGTCATGCTTATAAACATGTAAGGTATTACACCTGTTAGATATTATCTATATTATATATTGTAAAAAAATATTTTTTTATTTGAATCGTGAGATTATATTTTGATTAAAATTTTAAAAATTCAAAATGTGGAGAATGATATTGCATCTTCTAAGAAATGTTTGAGTTGTAAAAATAGAAGATAATTCTACCGCTAGTTTATTGTATAGTTGACAACACATATTGACTATTTTTTTTAAGCTAAGATTTGGCTAAGATCATATGTAGCTTACTTTTCTTGAAGTGTAAGTAGATGTTGAAATTTTCTATTAAAAATAGAAGAAAGTATATAATTTCATATATATGAATATGACCTGTTAATCATAGCCATCAAAGTATAAACATGTACTAATTGAATTGCAGGAATTTCTTTACTTAGGTTGATATTGAATTCACAGTCTATCTCTTGAATCAATTAAATTTTTTTTTTTTTTTTATTGAAAGTAGTCTATAAAATCATATTTCTTGATTATACTGGTTGTCTTTTGAACCTAAAACACACAAAATGATTTAAAAATAAAAATATAATAGATCCATAAATTAAAAAAAAAAAAAAAAATTTGATTTATTCCGGTTGTTTTTGAAAAACACACAAAATGATTTAAAAATCACAAAATATAATAGATCCATAAATTAAAAAAAAAAAAAAAAAAAAAAAGCCAAAAAGAGAGGTTCAATTGTATTATGCACATCAATTTCTAACTTCAAATACATAATGGATTGGCTAAGGTCTTTTTAATGTTATTTCCGATTAATTTCAATCACTTTATTATGTTAACTAAGCTACAATTCTACAAATTGGGGTGTTTTTTTTTTTAAGAAATAGCAGCATTTTAACAATAGATTATTTTATTTTTTTATTAATAAATATATATTTAACTAATAATTTATTATTTTTTCGTTAAAATTTTGTTATGGTAAATGAAGAGTTTAAATATTATCATGGTAAATGAAAAATTTAAAAACGTTCAAATAAATTTTTTTATTGAGTGCAAATAATAATTAGTCATTATTTGTTTTTGTTACTGTTTATGTTATTAGAAGATGAGTAGTGTAATAATTTTTTGTTATTATTTGGTAACAAGTAAATTTTAGACATAATTTTAGGATAATAAATTAGCTAATAAATTGTATCATTATTTGTGGTTTTAATTGTATCATTGAGCTAATTTTTCGTTGTTGACTTTTTTAATAGTAAATGCCAAATTTTTTTATTTTTTATTTTTGTTAAAAAGTTTCATTTTTTTAATTTACCTTTTACGAAGTTGATTTATTTAATGCGGCATATAATTTAGTTACTATCAAATAATTGTGCTTCTTAATATTCAATACAATAAAAGCCACACAAGATATTCTTTTGTCAATTCATTGTCTCTTTCGCATCTCTTCATTTTTTCTTTGAAATCTAAAACCTCTCCCAATTAAGATAAAAGAAAATACTCAAATTAGGAGTGTCAAAATGGATAACGACATGTGAACATAATTCGTCTAACACGCGAAATAAATGTATTAGAGTTGAGGTTAAACGGGTTCGTGTCATAAACGGGTCACCCATTTATGATACGAATATAAATGTGTCGTGTTGCAGGTTGACACGTGGATTAGGCGAGTGATCCGTTTATCTAAGAGTAAAGAGGTAATTTTAGTGTAAAAAATAAATATTCCAACTAAATTTCTATTTAAAATCTATTGTTATATTAATTTTTTATTTCTAATTGTGAATCTTGAAAAATATATGTGTTTTATGTATGAAAAATTATTTTTAAATATAATTTAAGTTAAATAGGCTAAACCTTAACAATATCATAAGCAAGTTAGGTGGGTCGTACACAGGTCAACACGAAGTTAAATAGGCTAAACCTTAACAATATCATAAGCAAGTTAGGTGGGTCGTACACAGGTCAACACGACCACTTAGCCTGTTTATGATATTAGACGGGTTATACAAGTTATATATGGGTTAACACGACCCACTTAACCTGTTTATAATATTAAGCAGGTTACACGTGTCGTGTTTGTGTCACTTGTCTAATTTTCATATCATGTTCGTATTGATAAATTTGACACGATTATTAAATGGGTCATGTTCATATTGGACCTAATCGTGTCAACCCTAATTGTATCGCGTGTTTGGCGAATTCGTGTTAAACCCGACCCATCAACCCATTTTGACACCCCTAACTCAAATATTGTATATTCACTCTCCTCAAATGAAGCATCACGTTAGCTAGGCATGGCCGGTTCAGTGAACCGCCGGTTCCGGTTCACTGAACCGCCGGTTCGAGATGTTTAAAATTTTGAACTGGAACCGACCCTTGAACCTGAACCTAGCCAGTTCGGTCGCGGTTCCGGTTCGCGGCACGGTTCGGCACGGTTTCCGATACCGACGGTTCGAATTACGGTTCCGATTACGGCTCCGGCTTACGCAAATTTTTTTAAAAATATAAAATTTTGAGTTCCGATTTCCATCTTCATAATTGCAATAATAATTTAAATGTTTATGATTTTATTACTAATAAATTATTATAAAAATGTTAAACAAAAAACTTTCTATTAACTTAGAACTATTATTACACTAAATTTTTACGAATTTTGCTAACTCACTAATATAGAAATTATAATTTTTTTATTTTTGGGCTTGAATTAATTAAAATTGAAAAATTTTAATTTAATTGGCCTACGTATCTCTTGAAAATTAGAGAAATCAAAAGGCCCGTGAGTTTTTTTTTTTTTTTATTACTTGGAAATACACCTCCCAATTTATCCTACAAATTAATTTTAGTCCATCGGTCGCACCTAGTCCCCGTTAGTAGTCGGATCATCATCTAATCGCTTGGAGATAAGTCTTAACTGGTATTCTGAGTTCTCAACGCCCTCTAGTCCAATCGTCAACAAGCACTCTTAGCATTTCACATTATTAAGGCGATCATCCTTACCGTGCCTCTGGATCTAACACCAATTTGGGTGACGTCCCACCCGCAACTAAAAGCTTGTTCATACTGCACAATAGAAATTTGACCAAGCAAGAATAATCTTTTGCAATTGAAGCTAGCTGGAATCATTTAACCGCATTTTTTATTGACGTAAATAACATTTAATTTGTTAAATGCCATTCTTGAACCATAAATTTAAAAATAGTCGACATGCAAATCTAGTGTGAAAAATTGTCCCTCAAATTTAGGTTAATTGTGTAGAATGAAATTTAGTGGATTGTGTAGTTTATGGATGTGATACTTGAGGATTTTTTTAGTCAAACCATATTCTTCTAAAATAATATTTAACATGGTAAAAATATTATGCGCGGTGTGAGAGTCATCAAAAACTCTAAGTACAATAATTCTTTTTTCAAGTTTCCATTTATTATCAATCCAATGGGATGTAACACCCATATAAGAATGAGTTTGCCAAGCATCACACCAAATATCACAACAAATGACAATTTTACCATTAAAATTTGCAAATAAATTTTTTAAAATTTCTTTTTCTTTTAAATAAATAGATAAAATAGTCATTTTAAGTGTATTGCTAGGTATCTTTTTTGCTAAAGGATTTAATATAGTCCTTCTAAGTGTATTTCTATGTATCTTTTTTACTAAAGGATTTAATACTTTTTTACAATAGTTATTAAATCCAATTTTTTCACCAAATGAAAAAGATAATCATTCCATACAAACCATTTTAGCCATTTCAATTTGATTAGTTTCATCACTATATTGTTCGGATCACCGTATCTTAATGACGATAATTGAGTTTGAGCTAGATCCATTCCTTTCTCACTTGGATGATGTGATTTTAAATGCTTATTGAGAGTGCTATAGCCTCCTCCAAGCTTAAATGCATATTCTTTTTTGCAATAATTACATCGAACTGTATTGATTTCTCCATTATCTTGAACAATTGTTGCAAAAATGCTTCTTGAAAATATCTGATTTTGGTGGTTTACCTATTGAAATATTAAGAGATGTTGCTTCTTGTGGTGGATGACGACGAATATAACGTTCCTTAACTAGAGTTTGATATTGAACTTCATCATTAAATTGCGGTGAAAAATCAATCAATGGATCGTTTGAATCAATTTCTTCCACGCTTTGAGTAACTCGCTTTAAAAAAATGAATAAATGAATATGAAATTAATGGAATTTAGAATTGGCATGTATTGAAAATAAAGCAATATTAAGAAGAGAAGAGGAGAGATAGAATATAACCTTGGTTGTGAAAAAAAAATACATCAACATCATCAATATTCATATCACATATTTTTCATTTATGTAGTTTCTCGCAATTGTCCTTAATAACAGAAAAAAATAATATTATTTTTGGATAATTTTAGTAAATATAATAAATAAATAAATAAATAATAAAATTAAATTATAATAAAACATTATAAATATTCCGTTTAAAACTTTCGAAAGGTTTGAACGCTTATGTTTATGTAAATTGTTAATTTGTATAGTTAAAAAAAAATATGTATTTGTTAAAACAAGTTCAAACGGCTAAGTGAATTAGTGAAATGAATAAGCTTTCAAAAAAAAGAAAGTGAAATGATGATGTTTCCTTTTTTTTTAAACCAAAATGATGATGTTTTTTTTCACATTCATTGCATAAATAATTTTGGTGTCCTTGTGAATCCCGGTTCAAACCGGAAGAACCCACGCGACCCGCGCGGTTCCGGGCCAGTTCAGGTTCCACTCCTTCTTTCTATTCATCCACTGACTTTAACCGGCCTTTGAACCGCCGGTTTTCGGTTCAATTTTGAACTCCGCCGGTTTCGGTTCAGTCCTACAGTACGGTTCGACTTTCTGGTTTCGGTTCCGGTCTAGAACCGACCGGTGGGCCATGCCCTAACGTTAGCATATAGGAAAAACTCGTGATCACTCCTTATATATATATAAATATATATTATTCTGCCATGCTATATATATATATATATATATATAATGATGATGTGGGAATAATAGAATTTGTTACACTAGCCTTAGTTTAATTTGAAATTTCTACCTTTTTAGTTAGATTTTTACTGCATTTTAATTGGAGAAAATAAGTTTATTTATTCTTTTGAAATCATTTTAGTTAAATATCCTTTTAATTATATTTTTTAGGCATTTTAATTCGAGAAATATGTATATTTATATTCTCTATTTGATATTGTAGTATTATTGTCAAATAATTTTTAAAATTAATAGATTTGATGTTCATAATTATAGATTTTTACGTGATACTGCTTTATAGGAGGTTAATCGAAAACCTTAAATATTGTAAATAAAATTTAAATTTTTCTAATTTATTATGTTTTGAATTCTTTTAAAATATGGTTAAATAATTTACTATTTACTATCAGAGTTTATTAGTTAAATACAATAAAACTAAAAAATAAATTTTTTTAACTATATTCATTCTCTTTAATTTATATGTATTTAGATTATTTACATATTATTGTATTTTAAAATTTTTATAATTTTAATTTAACAAAAACAATAGAAGTATGGAATTATAGTGTTTGACTAATATATTAAATACGAAATCTTTTCCTTTTTAAGTCTAATAAAATTTTTTTGAAAAGAATAGATGTAAAATTTGAATTAACGAAAAAATGGTTATTTAGACATATTTGTTATCATTTTATTTTCTTCATAAAGAGAAAATTCAAGAGTTCTCTTTTTATACAATATTTTATTCTATTTTTTAAAAATTTATTTAATTTTATTTAATTTTCTATGATTTAATTGGATGTATATTTTAAAATAATTTTTTTTAAATATATTATTTCTCTTTGATTTATACGTATTTGAATTATTTACACATTATTGTATTTTAAAATTTCCTATAATTCTAATTTAACAAAAAAAATAAAAATATAAAATTATAGTATTTGACTAATACATCAAATGCTAAAGTTTTTCCTCTTTTAGTCTACTAAAATATTTTTTAAAAAATGGGGTATAAAAGTTTAAATTAATGAAAAATGACTATTTACGCATATTTGCTATCATTTTTATTTTCATCTTTTCTATATTAAAAATGAAATAATGAGAAAATTCAAGAGTCCTATTTTTATTCAATATTTTATTTTACTTTTTTTTTAAATTTATCAAATTTTATTTATTTTTTATGATTTAATTGGATATATTTTTTAAAATAATTTTTTAAATATATTGTTTCTCTTTAATTTACATGTATTTGAATTATTTACACATTATTGTATTTTAAAATTTCTTATAATTATAATTTAATAAAAATAATAGAAGTATAAAATTATAGTATTTGACTAATATATCAAATGGAAAGTTTTTTCCTTTTTTATTCTAATAAAATCTTTTTGAAAAAATAGGCTATAAAAGTTTAAATTAATGAAAACATTGCATTTAGGCATATTTGCTATCATTTTTATTTTCATTTTTTTTTATATTTAACATGAAATAAATAGAAAATTCAAGACTTCACTTTTTATTCATATTTTTGTTCTACGGTTTTTTTTTTAAATTTATCGAATTTTATTTAATTTTCTATGATTTAATTGGATTTATTTTTTAAAATAAATTCTTTTAAATATATTTTTTCTCTTTGATTTACACTTTTTTGTATTATTTACACATTATTGTATTTTTAAAATTTCTTATAATTATAATGTAACAAAAACAATGGAAATATGAAATTATAGTATTTGACTAATATATCAAGGTTTTTCCTTTTTAGTCTAATAAAATCTTTTTGAAAAAAAATAGGCTATAAAAGTTTGATTTAATGAGAAAAAATGGCTATTTAACCATATTTGCTATCATTTTTATTTTCACATGTTTTATATTAAAGATGAAAAAAAGAGAAAATTCAAGAGCTCTCTTTTATTCAATATTTTATTCTAAAAAAATAATTGATGTGAAGATTAAATTTATATTTTATATTGTAGCTACATAGAGCAAGTCTTGATTTATTAGATTAATGTCATAATATCGCCAAATTATAAAATATTTTTTAGCATAGTAAAATAAATTTTGAGTTATTTAATTAATAAAAAAATTATATTTTTTATTAAAGATTTTTCTTTCAATTAGATGTTACATTAATTAAACAAGGATCTAACAAATAAATTCAACATGCAATGCACGTTATAGAAGAACTAGAGTATTTAATTGGATATGTTAGTTGCCTTCTACTCCTTCCATCTTCTAATGTTTGTCTCATTTTTTTTTTTCATTGGTCTCAAATTGTTTTTTTATTTCTTTTTATAGAAGTGAATAATATTTTAAATTTACTGTTTTACCTTATTTAATATACTTCTTCCCCCGACAAATATATTAGTTAAGCTACTAAATTATCATTAGTTAAATTTTGAGACAAAATAAAATTAAAATATCAATATTTAATTTTCACATTTTTTATTTACATCATTGCTCTCCAAGTCACAATTAAGATTTTCCACGTTAAAATTATAGGGTTTCCACTCCATTAAAAAAAAAAAAAAAAAGTTTTCTAACCACCCATTAACAAAAAAAAAAAAAAACCACTCCATTAAAAAAAAAAAAAAAAATTACGTGTCTACTCACAATTTTCTGGTTTATTATTTTCCGTTATCTATGGGAATTGTTGTTAATTTTTCAATAAAAAAATTAACTTTTTACTGAAATTTATGATGCACAGACATGGAAATGGAAAAATGGAGAAACACAGAAATGAATACGGGTAAATTGAAATGCAGGGGAAACGCGTATACATAAAAAATATAGAGATTTATTTATAAAATTTAAAAATATAAGAATAAATATAAAATTAATTTAGGAAGGATACATTTAAAATTTTTAAAGAACAATCAATTCATAAGTTTCATACTCAATAAAGAAAAAAGAAAACAAAATATTCAAATGTCAAAATAAAAAAAGATAATAAAATTTTATTAAATTTGAAGTTTGAATGTTAAAATTAAAAATAGAATTATTAGTCATTTTTCAAATAAAATTTGCAAATCATCCAAATTTGATTTGGATTTGAAGTTAAAAGTAACAAACGCCAGTGAATTTCGTATATGGCCCAGTTAAAGGGACTATAATGCAAGCCGATAAATTCTTTAAAAGTTTATGGGCCCCAAATTAAGCATTATCAACTCACGTGGGACAAGAAGTGGATCTTCTCCAAGTCATCATTCTACGCGCTCTAGATTATCGACAACGCAACAAGAGAGCAAGATTTTACAATATAAATAGTTCGTGTATTACACGTTCCACATAGGAGAATAAAGATAGAGTGCCTGAGTTAGTTACAGACAAGAGATGATTTAAGAAAAATAAAGAGAGCTAACAGCGAAGGGAGTGTGATTGTAAGTTTCATGTCTGTGTTCTCTCCAAGAAAATGGACGGAGGAGATAATGAAAACCTATCTGAAATTAACAGGTTTTGCTTCTATTTTTTTTTTCCTGCTCTAGTTTTTCCAGTTATTTATTTATTATATTTAATAGAAAATAAATAGATAAATATTTATTCTTATTAGTGGATTTTCATTTTGATTCGAAAACTTTTAACTCTTTTTGTGATTTGTGTTCTTTATTTGCTAAATTAGTTGTTCTTTCTTGTTTCAGATAATTTTTATCATTGAATTTCTTGGATGATTAGGAAGCAATTTGTTAAAGAAGATTAAATTCATGATTTTGATTAGAAATGAAATTAATGATCTATCTTGTTTCTTGAATCCCAATTTCAAGATTTTGTGTGCGAGGGTTTTATTGTTCCTAACAAAAGATCTTTAATATTTGTATTAGAGCAAGATAAATTAATTGAAATGGATTGTTTTATAATTATTTTTTTTCTTTTTTTGTTGGGATAATCTATGATTTGCCAAGCAAAGAAGAATTTAGAGAGTATCTATAACTGTAAGCTTAACTGTATGTATATGTAATAAATCAACGAATTATATAGCTGATTCTTGTCTGTTTGGGAAAGTTAGTTGAGATGATTACAGAATTTTTGGTATTATGTAGCTTTCTTTTTGGTTTATCTGTTTGTCCTTAACCTCAATGTCTCTAGTTTTCTATGAAATTTGACCGAGTTCTAAAAGAAACATTAGTTATTCATGAACAAGGTACATATGGGTATTCGTTTTGTAGGTAACGTAAGGTTTTTTACCAGATTTATATTCCTAAATGGGATTCTGGGAGGGAATTGGAGTGCGATGCTTTGTTCTTTCTTCTAACTTCATTTCCGTTGGCTGAAAATAATTCAAAGATTATTAAAGACTATCTGCAAATATAGCTGCCTGCTTATACTGGGTTCTTCTACTATTATTTTCAGCTTTCATATCACCAAAGCACTCAATGCAAACATGTTTAACTTGAGTAAGAAAAGGAAGCTACAGGCTGAGCAGTTCGGTTTGCCTATGCCGAAACTTAAATGTTGGGATCATCGTTTATCTCCAAAATCTATTGATGAAAATCAGGAAGTAGAAGACTTCACACAGAAAATTCAGGAAAATGCAGAGAGACACGAGATTGATGATGGATCGGATCCTGAATCAGCTAAAGACAGTAATAGTTTTATAGGAGATTCTGACTCTGCCACATCTTTATATTATGACTCTAAACTTGAAACAGAGATTTCAAAGGAATGGCCTTGTAATGGGCCCTCTTCATCATCGTTTAAGTGGGGCTGCCACAATTTGGAGGACCCCCAATGCCCGCTATATGATTCCACAGCACCAGGCGGTACTGGCAAAGGTGAACCAACATTTGTCGCAGAGGAGCACTATCCTCTCCATAAGTGTAATGGATTACATCAGAACTTTGATGATGCAATTGGAGAATTTGAAAGTCATTCTGACTACACTTGCTCTGAACATGGAACTGACAGCATCGAGCCATTTATACGGAAAGAGCTCGACGATATACTTTATCCTAAGGGGGTGGATTCAAACGTGTATGTCTTGTCTTCTGGAAGATGGAACGTTAACCAAGGTAATCTCATATGTTCATGCTAGTCGCAATATGCAAAATCGGTGGGATTAAATTATTTGGCTTTCTCTGTATCATTCGTTTGGTGCTTAAATAACTTGAGTATTGCTTGTTAATTTTTTCTCCATTTAGTAACTAGCTGATACTTTGAATGCAGATGCTCAACCAGTTGCAAAAAAACCAACCATTGATCAGGAATTTGAGCAGTACTTTTCTATGCTTATGCTGTAGCAGAGAAAACTTACTTTGTAGACCTTGAATGTAAAAATCTGTTAGTACATATCTCTTGTACTGTGGTAATTAGTAAGTGAGACTGTTTATTGGAATGGTCATTGTTATTGAAAAGGACAACCTTTTTCGTACATTCAAAACTCATAAAAAATGCCAGAGACCAGGGCGATTTAAATCTAATACCCCGTATTTCTTGCATTTTTAGGGGAGAACAAAAAAAATTCAAATAAAAATATTGCACCAGCCGGGAATCGAACCCGGGTCTGTACCGTGGCAGGGTACTATTCTACCACTAGACCACTGGTGCTAGTGGTTTCCAATGGGCGACCAAATTATAAATATTAAGTGCATGTATTTGGAAAAAAACATGTACTATCTTCTTTTGAATCTATCTCTGAAAATTTAAATTGTAGGTATTGAAGAAAACTAAGTACTACTTACAATATTGTCACTGGTTATAGCAAGAATTATGTGGCGAAAAGTATCTCAAATTTAATGAATCTTATAATTTTATTACGTCAATTCATGAATTTCAGTAATTTTATCCCAATTTGAAATAAAACAACTATCATTGTTTTTCAGGTAGCAGCAGAAAGTAAGTTGAAGGAAGTGGTCTGAGAAAGGACAAAAACTTGAGACATTAAGAATATGCTTAAGTGGGTGTGAACTAGAATGTAATTAAGCCATGAATAGTCTTGTCCACACAACTTCAATTAAAAGCAAATCAGTGCATTTGGAAAGAAAATGATCAGCTAATTATAAAATCTCTTATTGATTAACATAATTAATTAACCCATCCGATGTTTACAACTCATCTGCTCTCTCCCATCTCTCATTCTTGACTTTGGACCAACCAAAGTACAACTTCCAACCAATTATTTGAGATTTTCCTTAATTAATCAAAAAATCTCATCAGTAAACAAAAAGAAAAAACAAATAATACAAGTGCATGTACAAGAAAAATCTTTGAAAACAAAAATCAAAAACTGAGATAGAAGCCAGTCCGGATCATTGGTCAGTCAAAAATAAATAAGTAAATCAACATTTCGGAAGATCGGACGGCGGTGGTTGTAGCTTCTGATTCGGCTGGGGGCCATCTAACACTATCCATGCCATCCTTAGCCCCCAGCTTGTGTGCACCTCCAGGTGACAATGCATAAACCATACACCTGATCACGAGTTTACGAAATTTTAGATAATAATAATCATAATTAAGAAAAACCATGTCAGTGTGTGTATATAGTATACCTGGATTATCAGCTAGAAAGCGAATGGCAATCCATCCCCCAGCAGGAACTCCAACAGTGTTTCTTTCGACAGGGTCAACCAAATTAAAACTTGCAGGATCTTTATTTGGATCGTAATTTCCAAAACCTTGTCCAACAACAAAGAAATTGAATCCATGAAGATGAAATGGATGACTTTCCGCACCAAGAATACTAGTATCTTGCATTACTAATTCCACACTGGTATTAAATCTTAGCACCAACGTTCGAGTTCCATTGCTGACATTAGTGTTGTTGGGTGGTGTACCTGTATAATTAAACGGTACAGGTGGGTTTTGAGGAAAATCGGCAGTTAAAACTCCATTAGACATTCCAAAGAAATAAGATTGAAGAAGAGCTGTAGAGGGTAATACAAATGACACGTTATTAACCGAAGCAGCAAATTTAGTAGTATTAGTGGGTCCTTGACAGGTTGTGTTGGCAGGGCAAGGATGAGTTCCAAGTCCTACTGTGAAATAGAATTTTCTATCCACAGTTTGTGGTACGTTTGCAGGAAATTTTGAATTTGCTAAACTCCGGAATTTCTTGGTGAAATTTGCTACAAATCCTGTAGCGTTGATTGGTGGCAAGGTTGGTTTGAATAAGGGTAAGTTCTTGGAGATAGTTTTATTTAATGGGTGCTTGTATTCAAGAATGGCTGCAACAGTTGAGTTGTCGAAAGTTCCTCCGCCGGTGAAATAAGGCCTCGCAGCCATTAAAAATGTGGCGTTAGGAAAATTGGGCTTGGTTTTCAGAAGAACATTTGTGGTTTGGCCTGGAGTTATTTGTATTATATCAGTGTCAAAAGGCTTGACATAACTGGCATCAGCTTCGACTGTGGTGAGACTGTGATTGGCAATACTGAAGAAAAGCTCGTCGTTGAGTGCAGCGTTGATTATACGGAGAAGATAGGTTTTTCCTGGCTTTACCTTCAATCTATACGTATCTGTATATAGACAATATTAGTTTCTTGTATCATAAATTCACAATCTAGGCAAGAAATTTCCTCCTCATGAGTACTCATTAATGAGTGAAACTATACCTTTAGAAGAACAGTTATATAGAGGCCCAGGAAGACCATTAATGGTATATGCATCAGAAACATTAGGACCTCCTCCAGTTTGTAGGGCCTGAGCAATAATAGCCTCTGGATCTACATTAAACCACTCTCCTGCAATTTCAAACCCATAATAAACATGATAATTAATTTTTATAAACTAAAACCATATATTGATTGGCAATACTAAGAAAAGCCGTCGTTGAGTGCAGCGTTTGATTATACGGAGAAGATAAGGTTTTTCCTGGGCTTTAACTTCATCTAATCGTATCTGTATATAGACAATATTTAGTTTTCTGTATCATAAATTCACACCATCTAAGGCAAGAAAATTTCCTCCTCATGAGTACTCATTTAATGAGTGAAACTAAACCTTTAGAAGAACAGGTTATCATAGAGGCCCAGGAAGAACAATTAATGGTATAAATTGCATCAGAAACATTAGGAACCTCCTCCAAGTTTTTGTAGGGCTGAGGCAATAATAGCCTCTGGATCTTACATTAAAACCACTCCTCCTGCAATTTCAAAAACCTCAATATAAACATGAATAATTAATTTTTATAAAACTAAAACCATATATATATATATATATATATATATATATATATATTCCAGAAAATTAGAAAACAGTAATCAATTACCGAATAGGATGGAAACTTCCTGTACGGTTTCAGAAAAGGATAAGAGTCGTTTCTTCTAGAAGAATATAATGGGTCCATAAAAGAGACGATCTTCGCCATGAATTGAGCAATGCCAAATAACAGAGTTCCTCCTCTGTCCATAATGGTGAAGTTATAGGTAATATGACTGGCCCAGTTTGGTAATTGGACATTGGGTTTTACATAAGCCGGTCCTATATATTCAGAAATTAGAAAACAGTAATCAATTACCGAATAGGATGGGAACTTCCTTGTACGGTTTCAGAAAAGGATAAGAGTCGTTTCTTCTAGGAAGAATAATAATGGGTCCATAAAGAGACGATCTTAGCCATGAAATATGAGCATGCCATAACAGAGTTCCTCTCTGTCCAGTAATGGTGAAGTTATAGGTATATGACTGGCCAGTTTGTATTGGACATTGGGTTACATAAGCCGGTCCATCTGCCCAACCGGTAGTAAGTTGCCTTATCCCATGCCTGCAAATATTTTGAATGAGCAAATGCAATGCCATAAAAAAGAAAATGATAAATACCCATTTGATAATAGTTTCATACCAGTGGATTGAAACATTGTTGGAGACTTTGTTAACAACCTTGACAATTACTCTATCTCCTTCTCTTGCTACTAAGCGAGGTCCAGGAAACTTTCCATTCACTGTCAATACGCTTCTTGTATTGCATAATCTTGTAATATTTTGATAGACAATCTTTATTAAGAAAAAATGAAAAATGATCAGTGAATAAGATAAGAAAAATAAGATTCTAATAAAGTATTATTATGTTTTTTACTACTAATAATAATGATACAAAAGCTGGTCGAGCATATCTTCGTCCATTCTGATAAAATTCATGACGACAAAAGTTAATTACATGTACTTTAGTTTTGTTTCTGTTAACTAATGATTAGTGATAATAATTAATAATAATGCATATTTACATTGAATGTGTAGTGCCTTGTTATGGCAGCTGCAGGGTTTGGCAATAGCAATAAAATGCAGGAACTAAAGACCAGAGCTGCCATTGAAGTTATCGATGAACAATGGAAAATACCCATCAGTCTCTCTCTTTTTCTTTTTCTTTTTCTATATTTGGTGAATAGAAGAAAAGTGAAGCCCAAATGGGTTAGGGAGACGAAACAAGATTTATAGTTTTATAGAGAAATAGGAAGATTGATTAGGTAGCAAGAATTAACATTTTAAGTCAGTGTACAGAACAAGGAAGATTAATGGAATTGTCTCTTCATCTTTGCAATTTTTTTTTGGTTGAGCTTAATTTTAGAGTGTTGATAAAGTAAGATTTATTTTTCTTAAACAATTCTAATTATATTTTGATTACTAGAATGACACTAGCCTTTGTTTATTGGTTCGTACTAGTACTATCTATGAACTAAATTTCGAACTGTCCTTATTTTTCTAATTCTTCAAAACTGATGGATTTGTTCTCTTCACCAAACAAACTGAAATGAAAAAAGAATGGAAAATTTGGACTCAGGTTTTCATAGTTGGAAAGTTCATCACAAATTTTCCAACGAAGTAATATTGTAAGGAGCATTATGAAGATTATTTACAATACTTCGAGAAATTTAATTTCAAATTTTCATATTAATATCATAATATTTTGACAGCGTGCCTCCCAAAATCTATGAAAAAATAAAAGAAGAAATGAGCTTAACGCTATGTTCAGCAATAATTTTTTATATAGCTTTTAACTTTTGTTATAGTACTTACTAACACAGTGTAAAATAGTTTTTTATAAAAAGTTAACTTATGTAATGTTTTTAACATTTTATGAAAAATTGTTCGAACAGCTAATACCCGAACGCTACTAAAACAACTAACAGTTATCAAAACAACTAATTTTGTCGAACAGACCCTTAATATTATATTAGAAACTTCTAAACCTTTCTTAATTATTACTGCATTACGACTTACCAAATATCGTGAAGTGTTAAAGTTAGAGGATTTCTTCAAAAATATTATGGACTGAAATTTCTTTTCTTATTATCTTATTTTTCTGGATACGATGTTCACCAATTTGGTTACAGGTTGCATTCATTGTCTGCTAGTCCTTTCGTAACTTGTTGTGTTGACTATGCTTTTCCAACAAAGTTAAGGATTAAGAGAAAGAAGATTCTGCTTATATTAATACTAATTAAGTAGCCATTTACTCCATAATAAAATAGCTTGTAAGAGGAGTTTGGGTAGTTGAACTGAATCCTGCATTCCTAATTGCCTTGGAAGTTAAATTCTTGGGCTTCTATCTCAGCCTTTCTCTACCTATTCTATCTTTGGAACGAAGGAATATTATCATGCAGGATGCACCATACAAATAGTATGATTTTCAAATAAGCAAACCCTTCTTTTTAAAATGTATATATCATATGCTAACTCTGGTTTGGTTCACGTCCATGCCACTAATTATGGTGGTCAACATATATAATTTATATAAAGAAGCTAATGAGGTATATTTATAAATAAAAATAATAAAAAAAAACTAAAAAAAGGAAGAAAGAAAGAGAGGTCAGGTGATAGATCATCTTTACTTGGGATGTCTCTGTTTTAGTCAGTGAAGTTCCTTTGCAGTAACTTACTGGGAGATAACGATGTGTCAACTGCATTGAACCATGCCATGTTTGTTTGAGAAGTGATATCTTTGCTCGGAAATGCCCTAACGGTGTGAGGTTTATGCTTTACAAGATCAATTAATCTTCATAGCTAAAGTTAATTTAATTTAATTGGAAGCTAAATTTACTCTCACTTTATTGATTATAATTGAACTTTTACATTCACAATTTTTTTAAAAAAAAAAGTTAAATTCTTTTAATTTTACTCCTCTATTACATTAAATTTGACCATTTTGTTTTTTTTTTTATAATTTAGATAACCCTTTTAAAAAATTAAGACACTATTCCCTCTCTCCCATAAATATAGGTCTAATTCGACTTTCACATAGATTAAAAAAAATTAATTAAAATAGTTAAATTATATTTTTTATTTAGTCTTTTTCCAAAATATCCCTTTATATTATTAAACGATATATATCATTTGGTAATATGATCGTACATTAAATAGGGGTATATTAATATAATAGATAATAAACTATCTGTTAAAAAAATAGGACTATATTTTGAGACGGGCGAAAAAAGAGAGTGAGCATATATGAATCTGAAGGAGTATTAATCATTTTATTTCAACTTTACTTTTATCTAGATATATGCACTACTCTCAATTAAATGAGCATTACTTTAATTTCTTTTCTATAATTAAGATAATTCAATCGTTTTATTAATTTTGTGAAAAGTTAAAAACGGTTAAATTTAACTGAATTCATTGTGAGTGCCTCCTTATGAATCTGATGCGCCGCAAATAGGATTATACTGAACTCAACGGATAAGCAACACTTATACAATAAACTAAAGAAAATTAACTGAAGGGAGTGCGTAATAAATTGGTAAATATAAATAAAACCAGTATACCAATAAATTGGTTAAAATGTAAATAACTAGAAGCAGTTTCAACTTTCAAAGTTGAGCATTAAAATTATAGTAACGTGAGGTTGGCAAAACGTCTACGTCCTATACATATCCATGAATATATCTTAAATTTTACTATGTTCTGTATAGTTTCATGAAGTTGGTGTAGTGTTCAATGCTTTATTTGCAATGTATAACTTACTTCAAATTAAGATTTTGAATTAATTCCAATAGGATTTTTCAACTAAAATATTAATTTAGCTTATTCTTTATTTATTAATGTACTTGAGAGACGGAAGTCAATAACTTAATTCCCTTAACAAGTGAAACTAAATATTTTTAACCTAATCAAAGCACTTAAGACTGATGAATTTGGGCTCGTAAACCTTAAGACTGACTAACTATTAAAGCGTGGTTCTCCCAAGATCATAGCAAATTTATACGAGAATTCTAAAAGATCAAGACTTGATATATCTTCAATTAATAAAATAATAAACGAAAATTGCAATAGATTATGATGAACTCACTCTAGAATTTCTGGGTCGGCAGTCAAATTAATATTGGGTTAGAGACTTCAATTTTCACACCTTAATAATGGTAAGCGTGCTTTAAGTTTGCTTAACTTAAAGATTCATAATCATAATCATAACCATAACATCTGTATCGGATTAAGACCATTTTTTAACAATTATGTCTTTTCTTTCTATCAAAGAAACTACTTAAGCACTCTCTTCTCTCTTCTTTTACCAAACTATACTTCACATCTGCTAATTAATCACTTTGATTAAAGAAGATTATGCTATTATTAGCATTAATTCTTGTTTCTTTTACAACAAAAAGAATTAGATCTACCAAATATATTAATATCCAATTTCTAGAAATATAAACCATAAAAACATCCTAAATTTCTTGAAAAATAGAACTAAAACAGAATCAGATTCATAAAGGTTAAGCACATGCTTCCCGTCGTCGAAGCGGCATAGAGAGCAGAGCATCAAGATCAGGAGGTTGAAAATACCCGTTCTTCGGTGGGTCTCGCTTCTTTCCGATCCCAGATTTCTTCCTCGGTGGCGGTGGACAAACAGACGACACTGGAATCCGACATCTAGGCGTCGTGCACTCTTCCTTCATCATCTCAGATCTCTCATAATCCATCTCCATTTTTTGAAACTGAGGGCTTAAAACTTTCAGAGAAAAGCGGAAACTTTTTGAAATGATTTGAAAATTTTGAATGTCGTAAAGTGAGGGAAATGTTATCAAAATGGTGTTTTAGATCGTGCGGTGGTGGTGGTAGTGGTGGTTACAGCTGGATGTGAGTTGAGGTGGCACCGACGTGGCCGTTTAATACTGGGCTTAAATATCTATGTGTTTATTGTTTTTAAATAATAAATATGGCGGCGCCTATTGAGTCGGTGTTGCGTTGGCGCCAGAAAATTATTGGTTTTGAATCTCAATCGTGATTCGTGACCGCGCGTTTAAGTTGTTTTTGGGAATTCGGAATTGCTGTGCGTTTGGTTCAATGAACCTTTTACAATTATGGATTCGAATGGACGTTAGGCTCTGCCACCAATTGGCCCACTTTTTGCTAGACAATCATAAATTATGGCCCAAAACACATTGGTTAATCTTGGGCCCACCTATTATTATTACCATTTATTATTATTAAAAACTCATAATTCATAATGTGTTCATTAAAATTTAAAAGGCAAGTTAATTAACCAAACCAAGGAAAATCTTAATTTTTTAATATGATAAACTAGTAAATTACTAAATTTTCAACTTTTTGGTTTAGCAATATCACGGCGCATCACATTAAATTTATCTACACAATAGAAGAAACCATTTTACATATAAGGAAAAATTAGAAAATAAAGTTTAGGCGAACAAATATATTTATTTATATATTTATATATTAAATTTTCTCAAAAACAATATGTATTTTTTTAATTCACTTGCAAAGTGCTTATTTATATTAATTAAAGAGTAGAGTTTGATGAGAGAAGCAATCATGCGATGATTAAATATTTGAAGGAAAGCTCTGAATAAAGAGATTTTATGGCTGGGGAATAGCGGATGTGTGGATTTGGTTGTGATAATTAAAGCAAAACATGATCAAAGCAAAACAGAACTATTAAAAGATTTTGAGTTTATTGAGCAAAAGAGAGAGTGTTTCCACGTGTCTGCCCATTCCTGGGCACTACACTGTGTATAATTATAACAAAATTTTTAATTTAAGAGGTATAATAATTTCCACAAATTTGAAAATGCCGTAAAATTGAATACGTCGGCAATTTTATGTATTATGCTTAAAGAAAAAGAATAATATAATATGACCAAAGTGTTATAGTAAAATATTGGCTAAATATATAAATATGCCCATGCTCTGTCAAAAAAATTATTGTGGCACTTAAATCTATACTCACAGCCTCTGAACGCGTAAAGGATATAAAATAGTGTTGTTATGGTATTTAATTAATAAAATACATAGTAAACTAATTATAAGCTTTCTAAATTTTGATATTAACACTTTAGTCTTTTTTGTCAAAAACTGAAAAATCAAAGTATTAATAAAATTATAAATTAATTTTTTAAAAAAAAAGAAATCATAAATTAAGTATTTCATAATTAGTTTTGTTTCAAAAAACAAAAGTGCTTCATGTGTTAATTTGGCTGTAATTACGGGCCAATTTATATTTTATCAACCTAAAATTTTGTTTTATTTATTTATACTTAATTGACGGTTCAGGTAGGTTATTTTGATCGGAAAGACTAAATAGTTAGCATACTTATAATTACCTCATACTTAATGTTTGAAAATAAAGAAATTATAAATATAATTTAGAGATTAATATTTATTTTTCGTTAATTAAATAATTTGATTTTATTTGAACCAGATTGGGCCGACTCCTACCATCACTTTTGTATTGAGAGGTTGAGAAGCTGTTCAAAAGGGCGGAAGCCCAACGAGAAAAGGAGTATTGAACCTACATACTGTTCTGAAAAAGAACTTGGGCTAAATGAATATTTGTTACATGCAGCCCAACGAAAGGTTTGTCCAAGCTGCAAAAGAGGAACACTATGTAGATGGGGGTAGGCATGGCCGGTTCAATGAACCGCCGGTTTCGGTTCATTGAACCGCCGGTTCGAAATGTTTAAAATTTTGAACCGGGTCCCTGGTTCGAAATGTTTAAAATTTTGAAGCCGGAACCGCCCTTGAACCTCCGGTTCCGCCGGTTCCGGTTTCGGCCCGGTTCAGGCGAACCGACGGTTGCAAAATTAACGGTTCCGGCATTACGCAATTTTTTAAAAAAAAATAATAAGATTTTGATTTCGAATTCATGAATAAATATAATTTAAAAAATGTTTAAATTTTAATTAAACTAAATAAAGTTATATAAAATTAAAAACAAAAACTTCTATCTGAACAATTTTTGCAAAGTGCTTCTTGAGACAATTTTTGCAAAGTGTCTTCTTGAAAATATCGAACCGCATTGATTTCTCCATTATCTTGAACAATTTTTTGCAAAGTGGCTTCCATTGAAAATATCCGATTTTGGTGGTTTAACCTATTTGAAATATTGAGGAGAATTATTTGCTCTTGTGGTGAAAAATCAAATCAATGGATCATTTGAATCAATTTCTTCCACGCTTTGAGCAACTAGCTTTCCCTTTGGAGATTTGGTGAATTGTTGTGCCATAGATTTTAAATGGAATTATGGAAAAAAAAAATGAATAAATGGAAATATAAAATTAATGGAATTTAGAATTGGATGTATGAAATAAAGCAATATAAAGAAGTGGAAGAGGAGAGATAGAATATATTGGTTGTGAAAAAAAAAAAAATAGATCAACTCATCATATTTAATAGCATATTTTTCATTTATGTAGTTTTCCCAAAATTGTCCCCTTATAACAGAGAAAAAAACAATTATACTTTTGATAATTTATAAATTAATAATAAATAAATAAATAAATAATTAAATAAATTAATTTTTCCAATTTCTAGCTTTCCACCTAATCGCACCTTCGTTTACAGCATAAACGGTATATTTAGAATCAGTCAAAATTTTAATTTTCTTGATTCCTTTTGCGATACCAAATTCAAGAGCTTTTTTCACTGCAATAATTTCAGCTAAATTATTCGTGTTTTTATATTTTTCGTGTGTTATTTTTTCAGAAACGTTGAATTTCGAACCCGGACCGAAACAGATACCTATTCCCGCCACAGCTTCGTCTTTACCGTTCTGAGCACACGCGCCGTCAACTACTACTCTCAAATATCCATCTTCATCAAAAATACACTCACTCTGATCTTTGAACGCCGGTTTCGGTCCGGTTTCGGTTCGTCTACAGTATGGGGGGGGGGCGTTTCGGTCCGGTTTCGGTTCGTCTACAGTACGGTTCGGTTCCGGTTCGGTTCCGGTTAGAACCGAACCGGTGGCCATGCCTAGATGGGGGTAAAAGAAAAAGGTTGTCCAATCCAATCAAGAGTAACCAAACCATATGTTTGGATTATTATCAATTAAAATTTTATAATTTAAATTACGTACATCTCCTTAATAATACATAAAAGATAAGCTATTTTGGATGAGATACAAGTTGATATTTGAAAAAAAAAATTTATATATAATAAGGCTTCATTCGGTTGCAATATTAAAAATTATTTTAAAAAATTAACAATTTTAATTTATGATATTATTAAAAATATTTAACTCCAAAGGATGAGATGTGATGACAGATATCCATTCACCTTCAAACAGAGGTCTCAAGTTCGAGCCCTGATATGAAATCTCTTTAAACACTCGGGAGGGAGCACTTTGCCCCCTTTGCGACTTGCCTGATGCGAATCCAGATTAATCGGATCAGTGAGTTTCAGATACCGGATAATTAAAATAAAATAATATTTTTTTGAAAAATTAGAATTATAAATTTTTATTTTTTTTAAATTTTTATTAAATATGAGAAAAAAAATAAAAAAATGATAAATTAGGGATAATTATTAGTGATCAGTGGCGAGGTCATATAACTGGTAATTAGTGGATTATTAAATGTATGTTTACAAATTAAACCTATGGTGATGATTTATAAAAAATTCAAACTAAATCAACAAAAAATAATCAAACCGAACTAAATTTATAAATACAATTTAAATCGGTTAAATTTGGTTTAAACAGTTTTCAATGGAATAAATATTTTATAAACATGTTCTTTTTAAATGAAAAAAAAATTAATTTGCACCCCTTATTTTTATCTTAACAATTTCAATTTTACACTATTTTTTTCATTTTAATTATTTAACAAGTCATTAATTAAGTAATTTATTAATTACAGTATAATTAATTACATTTGGTTTGGTTTGGACCCTAAATTCATAAACCTAACTGAAAACTTATTAGTTTTTTTTTTTTTTTTTTTTTTTTTTTTTTTTTTTTTTTTTTTTTTTTTTTTTTTTTTGAAAGAGAGGAAATATCATATATTATCTCAAGGAAAAATAATCCATCAAAACAGTCAGTGCACTGAGTCCCAAACATGAACACGAGTAAATACGATGAATGAAGCTACTACTAGATCAATGAGCACCTATATTATCCGTGTCTTTCTAAAATCCAACGGAACTTTGACTAGTGGAAAGGAGGCTAATAACAAAAATACAATCAGAGAATAACAATACCCAACTCGACCTCATATCTCTAGTCTTAGAAAAAAGAGCATGAAAATACTTGAGAAATCTATGAGGAAAGTAACCCGCACTGCTGGAATATGCCGATTATAAAACTGGAAAGGTGAAACGTCAGAGCCAAACCTTCTGCATAAGTGGTGAGTATGTGTGTGACTCTTCTTAATAGAGGCTGGAAAAGAAGCACGCAAAAAATGTCGCCTTTCATTGTCTCAAAAAACAGTCTCCTTAAGTACCCGCCGATCGTTATATTAGAAAAAAAATAAGCTGCATCCACATGGCAAAGTCCTACTCTCCCAGATCGGTAATACCACTCTCCCAGATCGGTAATAGCAGGTGTTACTTGCGAAATTTGTACCTGAGGCATTTGCGGCTTTACCAAGGCATTCTTGAAGTCTTGAAAAAGAATAGAAGTTGTAGCATTAACATTCAAAGGAGTCCAAGCCATTTGTTGCCAAAGAAATTTGTTCCTAGCATCCCACACACTCCATGCAACATAAGAGATAAAAGCTAACTTTTCGGTATTATTTTGCTTCAAGACCTGCAAATAAAGAGTTTAAAAAGAAAAGTTAGTAGAAGCTTCCTCCACCCTATACACCTTCCAAACCTCCAACACCTTGGTGCACAATAATAATGCATGATCAACATCCTCCTCC